TATCAGGAAGATAGCTGTGTACTGTGTATGTGTAAACTGCATGTGAGGACAGAGGTATCAGGAAGATACCTGTGTACAGATCTACGTAAAAAGGATAAAAAGAATAGTCCAGAAAGGCAGGACAAAAGAACTGTGCATTTCCAAAACCCTAAGAATTTTTTTTTTACACTTTTTTTTTTCTTTTTTATTGGTACCAGGGATCGAACTCACGACCCCCTGCTTGCAAGGCAGGTGCTTATGCCGTTGAGCTAAATCCCCAGCCCCAAACCTAAGAATTTTAAGAAGCAAGTGTGAGTGTTGTGAAATGCTGCAGAGAAGTGAGACAGTAGGTCTGAGAAGTCTCCTAATTTTGGCAAATTATTGCTTATATTTGAGAAGAGAACCACAGAGTAAAGACAAATGGGCCAGGTTAGAGAACAGGGAAGTATTGAGAAGGCGGTGGAAGCTGCCAAAGGAATCACACCAATAGGTTTGAGGAGCAGTGGCATTCTAGGACTAGTCAGCTTGCTTCTAGAGTTCTAGAGTTATGTGAAAAAAAAAAAATACATCCTCTTGCTCATAAGCACAATACACCTATGTCTCCCTTCATCATTGGAGCTTTAATTCTGTAGTTGAGTCCTGGATGAGGTGATTGATATTTAAGGCCTATGTTCTTAGAGAAATATGTCATTGGACAATTACTGTAAGGTAGAAAGCATGTGGGGACCGAGACTGGCGAAGGAAGAGCGCTTGGGCTCTCTCCCTCTTGCTTTTGAGCAGAGGCCTGGTCACTTGTGGATGGTGTCCACACTGTCTTCAGACTGTTCTCTCCTGCTGCTCTGCTGCTGCTGGCACTGCCCCTCATCCTTGGCGCTGCCAGGTATATTAAGTGTGTGTGATAGGAAAGAATGGAGGTTGATTTTTTGAGGGCAATTCTGGGTACTTTTTTTTTCTTTTTTTGAGACAGGATCTGGCTCTGTAGTTCAGGCTGGCCTTGAAGTTACTATGTGTTCTGGGCTGGCCTTGAACTCAGCAGTCTTTCTGTCCCAGCCTTCCAAGTGCTGAGAGTACAGGCATGTGTCACCCCACCCACAAGATCTTAGATACCTGTAATAGAGATGTGGACTATCTTCTGAGAGAACTGTAAGATTCAAGGACAGCAGATTCAAAATTTTTATTGAGCTAATCTGACCTTAGCTAGAATTTGTAAGATCATTAAGTGACACTTGGGCAGGAGGGGTTTACTTGTAGTGGTGATACAGGTATAACCAGCAGGGTCTGTTCTTGCAAGGGTCAGGCTCAGTAACAACTGCGTCATAGGACCCCACTAGAGGAGTGTTAGGGAGAGAGATGTAGGTTTGCTCAAGGGCTGTGTGAGGACAGACTGGTCTTTTGCCTAGGAGGAGACACTGTGATCTTTGCTTTTGTTCCTTTTGTTTTTTTGTTTTGTTTTTTAAATGATGAAGTTGTTGAACAGTTTGCATTGGAATTGGTGGTAGTATGTCTTAAAAACAAATGCTCCTGTGTCATATAACTCTGAACCCTGGCAATGCTGAGTGAATGTGGGATTCTGCCATCTGCATACGGGTACGTGCTCCAGCTTATCTTAAACACAGTGGTGTTCAACAGTTACCACTGAATCTTCTGCATAGCTTTCTGTGGTCCAGAACCAGTATTATTCATATGTATCTTAGCATTAACACATAGGAGATTTCATGATTCAGTCTGAATTCCAGAGCCTGCATAAAGGTGCCTTTGTGGTCATTACAAGGGAGGAAATGGCCCAAATGAGTGTGTCTAGGTGGCTTTTACAGAGAAGTGAGCCAGTAGGTCTGAGAAGAGGCTCCTAATTTTGGCAAATTATTGCTTATATTTGAGAAGAGAACCACAGAGTAGAGACAAATGGGCCACGTCTCTGATTAATGATGAACATGTACATTGCCATTGTAATCAGAAGCCATGTAAAATTTTTCTATAATGTACATGGTTAGGTGTTATTTTTAATTCAGTCTGACAATGTTGGCCTTTGAATTGGGGTTTTTACACCATTTAATGATGGTTGGGTTTGTCTTTTGTATTATTACTTCCTATCTATCTTCTATGTCTTCCTCTTCCCTTCATCCTCTTTTTCTCCCTTTGGACCAAGTACTTAAGACCTTTATTGACTTCCTTGGCTCAGAGTCTATAATTAGTGCCCAACTTTTAACTTACTTCAGTCTACTGTCACGTAAAATGGCTCTCCACACAGTGTAAGAACCTTACAATACATACTTTACCTTTTTGTTGCCTTGTGCTATAGTCAGCCATACATTTTACTTTTACATGTTATAAATGTCAGTGTGCTTTTATCTGTTTTATAGTGCATATTTCTGCTTTAAAAAATTCTCTTTGAAAGCCATTTCAAAAATAAGTCTTTTTATTTACCCCCCCCCAATTTCCATTTCTGATACTCTTCATTCCTTTGTGTAGACCCAGACTTTTTCCATCTAGTGTTTCTTTTGTCTTAAGGGCCTTAGTGTTTCTTCTAATATGCCTGCTGTTGATGATGCGTGCTTTTGCATGTCTGCATTGTGTCTTCTGGTTTCTGAGGGACATCTGCAGCCCTGGGACACTCTGCTGTGTTCTCCACTCTGCAGACTCTCATTGCATCGGCCTTGCTGGATCTCACTGGGAGAGTCCACTGGGCTGGGTGACGCTCCTGCTGGTGGTGTGGCATGCATGTTTGCCTCTCGTGTGTGAAACTATTAGTTCTTATATTTGTCCTTTATTTCTTTTTTGAACATTAAAGTATGAGGGTAAATTTGGTCCTTGATCCTCCATCTTCATCAGATGTAGAAGAGTAAGCATGCTTAAGTTTTTTAATATAGAAGTTATTTTAGTAAGTTAAAGTAGTTTAAAGCTCTTTCTGACTACTGTTGGGAGTAAAAGTTGCTCTGTTAATATCATCTATTCAAAATAGTTCTGCAACTTGGGCCCAGGCTACATGTTTTCTAGGATTTTTTTTATAACGGGAATCAAACTTATAACCTCGCACTTGCCAGGCAGGCATTTGTGCTGCTGAGCTAAATCCCAGACCCTAAAATAGAGATGTTTAAGCATTGTAAGACAGTTGCATTGGAGATTTGTTTGGCAAATGATGGCTCTTTTTTCCTTTTTGTATAGCAGCATCTGAGAGGAATTTCTTACCTGTTTCTCTCTCATAAGCAAAAACTGGAGCAAAGATAAACTGTTATTGTGAGTGATGAGCAGGTTTACTTGTCTCAAAAATATTTCCATGTTTATTTTGGCCTTCTTATTATTGGAGATAAAGAAAATTCCTGCCCTGTACTGTAGAGTAATAGAAAATAAAGACAACAGTTGGAGACATGAGGTGATGACAACTAAATGGAGAAGAGTTAGGGGCTAGTAACAGAAGTGTTAGGGGCTAGCATCAGAAGTGTTAGAAAATACAAAATGGTTTAGAAACTCCTAGGTTTGGGGGAAGTCCCTTTATTCTTTAAGAATTACTTAAGTCCTGTACACCTACCTGAGCTCTGAATTCCGTCTCCAACCTCATCATTTTTCCATCAGTTCTGTTAATTATTCTGGAATTTCAACTTATAATTATTGGTTCACTATTTACTTTCATTATATGACAGTGTTTAAATCTTTTTCTTCTTCAAAACAAGAGAAAAAAACTTCGTATCACCTGTGTGCCCTAGCTAGTAATGTAACCTAGTGGAATCATATACAACTGGGTTCTAGAGAATATGGCATTGATCATCTTCACTTCCTTCTTCTATCACTGTGGTTGGCTTCTTCACTTTCCTAAGAAGGAAAATTGCCCTTGTGAGATGACCTGGGCCCTACCCAACATGGCATAAACTACCGTGTTCAGTGGGCATCATCCAGCTCTGCCTGCCCCTTTTGGCAGGGTGCCGTGCTGTTTAGTTGTAGCTTCAAACTCTGTTTGCCTAGTTCCTTTGAAATCATTATCCTCAGGTCAGTTTTCAGCCATTCTTGCTTGGGCTTCCATTCTTTCTCCTGAAGCTTAACCAGATTTCTGGCCTTGCAGTTTGTACATGCCTTCATTGCAGGGATCACTTTAAAGTGGGTTGTTTTCTAATAAAAGGCTCTCAGGAAGCAGAAAAATCGGTATTTTCATAGTCATTTCTCCAACACATAACTTAGTACTTCGCACAAATGTATTTAATAAATACTTGATTAATGAGTGTTTTGGTTACTGTTCTCTCATTGCTGAGACAAAATACTTGATGCCCAAAATGAAGAAAAGAAAGGTCTATTTAGCTTACAGTTTGTAGAAGTTTCAGTCCATAATTAGCTGCCTAAGTGAGTACACTAAAACCCATTAAGATAGGCAGGGTGACATGGCATTAGGGCAGTGCTTCAAGGCAGCAGCCAGCAAAAAAGAGAGTGGGAAGCAAGGCTCTTTTTTTGCCTGATGTACCCAGGCCACCTCATCCCTTCAGGGTGGATATAGAACTCACAAAATCTCCTTGCCCTCCTCTTGCATAGGAGGAAGATTGCTCCCTGCTGAGTCTCTTAGTTAAACTACTCAGGTTGACACAATGTATCAACCATAGCAATGAGTAAATTATCTTAGTGGGTTTTAGTGTACTGCTTAGGCAGCACACATATTAAGGGTTTTTAGCTTTCTTCTAGTAAATGAACTCAGATACTTTGATTAGCTTTATTTTCTACTTTGTAGAATTGTCAATATTTGACTTTTGTATATTTATTCAAAAATTTAATGTTCTGATTGAGCGTGTACATTCTAAGACTTGGATCACTGTTTCCCTAATTCTGAGTTTCTGTGATCTCTACCCTTACGCTTCTAGAGGTAGTTAGAACATATCTGTAGATATGGCCTTCAGCTATTCATGGTTCCTAGATTGAGTATAAGATTTTCTTGCAGTTTGTTGTTCTACTCCAGATAGGCTTATGGATATGTTGCTTCAGATAGGCAAGGGTACATTTGAGTTTCAGAGTGTTATAAGGAGTATTTCTGATGTCTCTGATAGTTGGTGTGGATGACTACAGCTCAGAGTCTGATGTGATTATTATGCCTTCAGCCTTGGACTTTGTCTCTCAAGATGAAATGTTGACGCCACTGGGAAGATTGGACAAGTATGCTGCAAGTGAGAACGTATTTAACAGGTTTGTGCATATTGTTTTCATTAACAGGAAAGTGGAAGGGTGGCTTGGTTAGTTTTAATAGGGGAAATAAAATTACCCAGCTTAAAAATAGGTATTAGCATGTGCAGGTTTTACTAATGATCATAGCTTGACCTGTATAGTAGATATCTGTGGTACTTGCTTTTTTTGCTACTGGACATATTTCTGGTATTGTTGGACATTGCTTACTGGGGTCCCCATTATTTCTGCAGCAGACGATGCTGTCTGCCTGCTGTGCCTGAGGTCACACTCAGGACACAGTGCCACAGTAAGGGCCAAGCTTCTGCACTCCTCTGGGGCCCTGTTTCTCCAGCCACGGTCTCCAATAGTTGTATAGACTTCTGTGAAGCCAGAGTCTTCATTTAAAATTTTTTATTGTAGTTGTACAAAATTCATACTAGTAAACATTTTACATAATGAAAAATGAATGTATGTTCCTATTATTATCATAGAGGGGAATAGCTCTTTGAAGTAAATTTCCAGTAACTTCAGAAATTTGCCAAATCAGCTTGATAAAAATAAAAGTACTTTAGTAATACTTAATCTCATCTGTAAAATCCATACTACCATCTGTCACTCTGAAAATTACAGTTTAATGTGTTTTATAACAAAAAGAGTCTTTAAAATCCTAGGGATTGTCTTTTACAATTCAGATTATAACTGCTGATGCTGCTGAACTCCTATATAATTTTCTTTTTCTGTGCAGACAAATGGTGGCACGGAGTTTGCTGGATACGTTGAGGGAAGTCTGCGACGATGAAAGAGACTGTGTTGCTGTTCTGGAAAGAATTAGCAGATTAGCTGATGATTCAGGTACATGTTTGTGCAGAGAAAGTGAATTCACTATTTCTGGAAGGGATTCTTTTACCAAATTTGTGTTTCTGAAACTTACCGGAAAAGCTAGTGTGATATCAGATATCTTCAAAAGATTTCCCAAGTAAGTTATCAAACCCACTAGTAACAAGAAAGAACGAAAAAAAAAATCCTGTTACCATCAGAACAAAGCCAATCAAAACAAAGCAGCAAAATTGGTACAGAACTTCAAAGCAAGATACTAGGAAAACAATAGCTACCATAGTATGTATATATTGTTACCTTCACAGTAGTTGTGCATTCCATCAGATATAGAAAAAGCAAACCTAAAACAAAACAGAATAAAACCAATCAAAGCAGTGAATAAATGAATAAAGCAAAACACTCAGAACAAAGTAAAATAATGAGAACAATATTGGATTTCAAAGACAAGATGAAGGAAATCCCCCATATTTGTTATATTTGTTATATTGCGTACTGTCATCCTCCCAAGAGATGCCAAGACCGCTGGCAAACAACAACCAAACAACTCAGGCATTTAGTTGCTTTATGTACCCAAGTTGCGATCTTCTCAGCCTGTCCTCCAAACCAGTGGATTGCTTACTGTGACAGGGGTGGGTTGAGGGGGTCGTTAATGCTCAGCCTGTGTACCAGTAGACTCGGGAGGCGCTGTCTACCGTTGTCTTCCTGGAACCTGTGTGGCTTGCGTAGCTCACCAGAAAGGCTGGCTAGTTAGCTTCTGTTGGGTCCTTCCAGTCTCAGCATGGCTGATTCTTGGAAGCACTGACTTTTCTCTTCTCACTTTATGGGAGTAGATTAACTTCATGAGCCTTAAATTTTAAAAATTTTCTTATAGGGTGGAAAGAACATTTGGAATCTTATTATCTTTGTGTATATAATTGTGACTGTACTTTGCGTTCTAGAATGGTTTTAGGAGGGTCTCATCAAGTATAAGTTTCACTTGTATTTTTTGACTTAAGTAACACTTTAGTTATATGATGGGTATTTTGGATCTGGAACTGTAATGAGGTGCAACCAGGAGGAGGAGTATTGGCGGTAGAAGGAAGGACAAACAGGCTTAGGAATGGCAGGTTCAGGATGTTGGCACTTGGTCCTAAGGAGTCTGCAGTCTAGAGGGTGAATAAGGGGGCGAGGGCTAGAAATCTAGCTGATAGGCTATGCTGTGTTAGAGACTTTACTTTTTGTGATTTATAATAATAATGTATTGTGCAGGCCGACTTAATGAAAAGAATGGGTGACATGAAGACTGATTGGGAGATCCTACTAACTGTTTTGAGTTCTTTAAGAAAAACTGAAGAGTGGGCAGAGGTTCCAGGGAGATGCTTCAGTAGTTAGAATGAGGGAAGGTCGTGTGGGCAGTGAGCTTCCTTGTTTAGTGCGCCAGGCTGATTGCAATGCCCAAGTAAGATGATGGCAGTCATAGAAATCTAGCTGATAGTCTTAATATTTCATTTCTTCTTACTGTTGTTGCTATTGAGAAATTTGCTAGTTTCATTTTGTGTTTTTGCAGGTGGCTTAGTCACTTTCATCATCCCTGGGAAAAAATACCCAACACTTGCAGCTTGAAGGATTGGCTTATTTTGGCTCACATTTATTTTTAGCCCGTATTTGACCAGCTCCAAGGCAGGAAGGCTTGGTGGAAGGGCATAGCCAGAGATGGCTGCTCATGTCTCTGCAGTCAGGAAGCAGACAGGAGGAACCTGGGAGAGAAGTTCCCTCTTCCAGGTCACACACCACTGACTGCCTGGACCCAGGCCCTACCTGCCCCAAGCCAGCTGTGATATCCTCATCATCTAGTCACCATCTTGCCACTGAATACATGCACTCTGGGGGGAAATCCAAGTGTAAAATCAGGACAGTAGGTATTCTTTTTTTTTTTTTTTTTTTTTGGAACTGGGGATCGAACTCAAGATCTCACGCTTGCCTCAAATAAGTATTCTTGTTTCCTTCTTCTTGCTTTTAAAATCCTCTTTAGATGCTGTCCTGCAGTTTCATTGTGGTATGTTTAGGTACAAATTTATCATACTCATGATTTGTTCTGCTTCTTGAATTTGAGAATTCTTGTTTTTCCATCTTCCATCTTAAAATCTTTTTTTTTGTTCCTGGGAACCAAACGCACAGCCTTTGCTTGCCAGGCAGGTGCTATGCTGTTGAGCTATATCCCTGGCCCCTCTTTTTTGTTTTGAGTAAGTTTTTTTCATATGGTTGAGGTTGTAGAACCTTTGTTAGGTAAATGTATTGTAGTTTTCATGGGTTTAAGTGTTCTTGCATTTCAGTCTTTTGTCTCCCTTCTGTATTTTAATAGTTTCTGTCAGCAAGGTACTTGCTACTAGGGACTGACCTGCCTTCTGACTTGAATTTTACATTGCTGTTAATTCCTTTTTGTTGTTGTTGTTTTTTTCATTTTTAGAAGTGCTTGGTATTAGAATCACTGTGTTGTATCTTAATCTTTTTGCTAACGAGCTATTCTTTCCTTGTCTTTTTTGTAGTTTGGATTTATGAGTTCATTTTTTAATGGGTTTTTACAGGAGTTTGATATTTGGTTCAGCCTTCACTGAGGCTTGGAGTTGTTTTACAGTTGGAGGGTTGCTAGCAAGTAGGAGTCTTCTTATGCCGATGTGGTGATGTATGTGTGGTATGGCTGTGCTTTCCCTGGGTGTGTGGGAACGTACAGTCCTCAACTATGCTTTAATGGAAAATTTGGAACCTAATCCAGTTGTAACTATACATCTGGGGTTTCAGAAATAATATATTAGAAGCAGATTTTTAAAAATACTGAGTATTAACAACAAAAAATATATGGACTGTAAGTTTTACAGCTTCATGAAATTTGTCAAGGTGACAGGAGGTTCCTATAACGGGCGTACAGATAAAAAAAAAGTAGAACCAACAGCCCAGAAATCATCTCAGTACTCTTGACCTCTCCCTTCTCCCTCTGCCCCAGAGTGAATGCCATTTGACCACTGGAAGTATAGATTAGTTTGCCTGTCTGAACTTTCTTTTGTGCAGTTTTCCCTGCTTTGGAGTCATGAATATTTCTTCATGCATTATTGAATCTAAAATGTCATTGTTTTTGCCTTTGACTAAAGTCTGTGTTCCATTTGGAATTTTTTTTTAGTTAACAGAAGTTGTATATATTGTATATAATATGATGCTCCTAGAATCTATTCTTATGGGTTACATGACATAGGAGACACATTTTCATTCCTTTTTTAATATGGATAGCCACTCACCATACCACCATTTATGTAAAAAGCCATCTTTGCCTTTCCCTCTTGGAAAAACTTGCTTGTCCAGATGTGCATTCTCTGTCTCTGGACTCTGCTCTTGGTTCCATTGGTCTTTTTGCTGAAGTAGAACCAGTGCCACGAAACTGAGCTGAGTCTCCAGCCCTTTTAAAAAATTGTATGAGATGGGCTTCACTGAGTCACTGAGGTAAGTTGCCTAGGCTGTACTCAAATGGGATCTTCCTCCCTCATTCTCCCAGAATACTCCTAGGTGTGTTCCACCACGTCTGACTCTAAGCATGGCTTTGAACAAATGTTACTGGTTTCATTCTTAACTGGAACTGCAAGATGTGTGCTTCTTCTGCTTAAAAAAATACACAAATAATCAGGTCAGTGTTAGCTTAGCAAATTCAGGATCATGAGAAAAGATGAGGCCTATAATGTCTGTATTCAAATTAGCATTTTTACTTCTCAAAACTGGAAATATTACTGCTTACCTCACATGACACAACAATTTCATAGAAATTCCAAATGCTGTAGTTCTTAGTTTTGTAATATGTTAGTGTTTTGTATTGATAGCCGTGTTAATTTTTCATTGCTGTGATGTGACATTACATTGAGCACATTCATGCATACTTACTGAAGTGGTAACTTTAATAGTGCAGTCCTGTTGGAGTGACTTATTATTAACAATTTGTTTTGTGCATATGTGTATTTGTGTGTTTGGTCACTTTCTTGTCATCCATGAATTACCTGTTTAGTCTTTTTCTGCATATGTATTTGACCTATTAATACTATGCTATGAAAAAAAATACTTTTTTTTTCCTCCTAGGTTGTTTGGCCTTTAACCAGTATGGTGTCTGTTGCCTCTAGTGAAGTTTTTACAAAGTAAAATCAGTGGTATTTTTTTTGTCTTCTCATCTTCAGGTTGAATATTTCTTTTGAAAGTATCTTTCAGTGCTTTGAAGGTTTTAAGTTTGGAACTTTGCTTCATGGGAATTAAATGGGTGGGTTGTGGGGAAGGGCTCTGTATTCTCTCTTCACATAATTAGCTAATTTTTCCTTATTACATATCAGGCAATTGATCTTTTAGAAACCAGGAGATCTGAAATGCTATCTTTCTCATGTGCAGATTGACCATCTGCACTTGGATCTTTTCAGGTTTTTAAAGATTACTTTAAAATTCTGTTTATCTCCTTTGATATTGATTCTCCTTTTTGGTCTTAGTCAAGTCAGATTACAGCCAGTCCTTACATCGTTTTGTCCTACCCAGAAGGTTTATAGATGGCTTCTTCTGTCATACTGTTGGTGTAGATGTGGATCAGGTACATTCACTGTGAGTGGCACACTGAGTGACAGACACTTGGGGTGGTATGGACTCCTCCTCACCCCTGCTGGATTGCCCTGTGTGGAGGTGTGCAGAGACCAGGGGGCTAGAGCAAAGACATAGGGTCCAAGCTGTCCAGAGGCCAGGGCCCACTGCTGTGAGAGGACACGCCCGCTCACAGTGCTGCTGTCTCCCCAGAGCCCACGGTGCGTGCAGAGCTGATGGAGCAGGTGCCTCACCTCGCACTGTTCTGCCAGGAGAGCCGGCCTTCCATCCCCTGTGCCTTCTCCAAGTACCTGCTGCCCGTCGTGGTGAGGTACCTCGCAGATCAGAACAACCAGGTGAGAGTGCTCCGTTCTGAAGAGTAGCCTCGCCTGAGCCATCTCACATGATTATGTGTCTCCTCGCTGTTTTAGGCATGATGGAGGATCTGGCAGATTGGGTCCTTTTCATGCCAGTGTGGGCAGCCCTGCTCCCTGCACTCTGACTTGGCACCTGCTAGGTGCCCCTGAGAACATTAACTTTATGAGGCATCCTTACAAGGATGGCTTTGTGTCTGGCTTCATCTCTTACCAGAGAGATGAAGTTTCTGTTTCCCCAGTTATCTTGTAATTGTTGGAAACAGCCACAAATATTTGGAAGATTTTAACAAGTTACGGGTTCCTTTAAATTGAAATGAGAAATCTTCACATTTGTGAAAATCAAGTGATAGTGTTCTGTCATATCATGCATGTCTTTCGTTTATACTGCCCCCCCTCCATTTTTTCCCATAGGTGAGGAAAACAAGCCAAGCGGCTTTGCTGGCTTTGCTGGAGCAGGAGCTGATTGAGCGCTTTGATGTGGAGACCAAAGTGTGCCCTGTCCTCATAGAGCTGACTGCACCTGACAGCAACGATGATGTGAAAACAGAGGCCGTGGCTGTAAGTAGGACAGTATTTTCCTTGCAGTTCTAGCAGGCAGAATGCACTCTTCACAGGTTTGGGAAGCCTATCTCGTGTAACACAACTCTGATGAGGATAGCCACAAACTGTTAAGTCCAAAATACAGCGAAACTAGGAAGGGACACTGAGGCTTATGAGGGAAAAGGTGATCTTCACACTTTGAGTAATGAGCTACGAATGCATTATTTTTTCAAAATGGAAAAAATAAGATGGTACTACAAATACCATCAACAGCACCATTTGAACACCTTCAGTTGCTGCTGTTTTTCTAAACATTGCGTAAGGACAGTGAAAGTGTCCCGTCTGGGGCTTGGTGCCTGCTTGTACTGTGATATTTGAGAGAATAATACTGCAAGTAATCAGCAGTAATTACTAAAACAACATGCAGATTGTTAAGCCATTGTGCACATAATGAAGTCAAGGCAGGTGTTCTGGTTTTTTTAAATGTGGTTAGCAAATATTCTAAGCATTCAAAGGTCATGGTAAATAGGGTATGTGTTAGAATTTAGTGTAGTATCTGTTGTGATTTACATGTATGGTACTAGAGTTCAGCTATTAAGAATTCTGATAGTAAATTAGAAAAGTGATAGATTGATATGAAAATATATTCAAATTTATTTAGATAGCAAGCATTCACCCTTTATACCTAAAGTAATGTAATTATATCATGGTCACGATTAAAAAAACTATACTCAAATGTTATGGTGTTCTTGATCATAAATTAAATAAATAAAGATAGCTCTAGTTTCTTTCTCTTGAAAAATTGCCTGATTGTATTTTTATTTTTAAATACCAGTTAATGTAGTTCTTTGTTTGTTTTTTGTAGATTTTTTTTCTCTGTGATATTTTTGGTTTTTTGAGACAGGGTCTTTCTATGTCGTTCAGGCTGGCCTTGAACTCACTATATAGTCCCGGCTGGCCTCAAACTCATGGTGATCCTTCTGTTTCAGCCTCCTGAGTGCTAGGATTACAGGGCATGTACCACCATGCCCAGTTTAGTGATGTTTTTATTGACATGAAATTTACATAACATAAAATTAGTTATCTTAAAAGTATAATGTCCTGCCTAATTTTAAAACATTTTTAGAATTTCTTAGTAAAGGAAAGCACAGTGGGCATAACTGTTGGTTTATATTAAGCAGAATTTAACTTTGCTATATTATAATTTTTGATGAGATTTAGAAGTAAGCAGACATTCTAATGCAAGACTGTCCAGCACTGGTGGCCTCTTAACATTTGGCTTGTGTTGCCATGTCATGCTTTGTATTGGCTCCCTGTCAGTCTCTTTTTTAGGAGTAATTCATTCCAAAAAATTCACTTGTCCTAGATGACTGTAATGTGGGGTTTTTAACTAGGTTTTCTGTAGTGGCTGTAAGTCTGGAAAAGGTACACAGTCTCTGCAGTTCTGATGATGCTGGGGTCCAGTTAGGTATCGCATTGAATGTGTAGGTCAGTTTGAGGGAAGTTGCCAGCCTCATGAACATGACACATCTCTCCATTTATGTATTTCTGTATGTATTTTTATGTATAGATTTGATTTATATTGTCTGTATTTCGTAGTGTTCTGCAGGAAGTTCTTGTGTATTTTATTAGATTTCAAATTTTTTAACATTGCTGTGCATGATACTGTTTTTAAAGCATTCTGGTTTTCATTGCTAAGTAATAGAAACAGATTTCTCTGTTTCAGTATATATCCTGCCTCCTTCTTAAACTCCCTTTTTTGTTCTGCTGGTGTCTTTATAGATTCCTGGTGATGTTCTAAGTAAACAACATGTCATAAATGAACAAAGAACACTTTCTCTCTTCCCATTCTGTATGACTTGACTTTTTATTGTCATGCTGGTCCAGTCTAGGAATAGTGTAGTTGATAAATGATAATGACTGTCATGATTCATTACATGAAGTATGAGGGAAGTGTAGTTCCATAATGAAGAGCTCATTTCCTTGTAAAGTTACTCCTCCTCCCTGTGGTGGAGCTGTGTCCTGGCTGTCCTGAACTGGGTTACAGTTTGACTTCTGTAGCGCTATGTGGAGAGGAGCTGCCTGTGTTTGCAGTCTGTTGAGCTCTGCAGGGGTGTTGAGTCCAGATCCTCTAGGCTCCTCCAGGTCCTTATGTTGTTGATTTCTAAAGTTAGCAGCAAAATTAGTAGCTAATGTTGATTAAATATTGTGGTCTGAAATGACACTTTTAGGATTTTCTGTGGCTTTTCTTTACTTTTATTGATATCACCTAATAGCTGTTTTTGTTTCTTTCTTGGAGTATGATAGAAGTAATCATTGGCTCTGGGTGCATTCTGTGACACACGCAGCATCACAGAGCCACGTCATCACTGTGGCTGAGAAGGCCTCGCAGCTCTCCGCAGTGTTCCTCTTGCTATTGTAGATAATGTGCAAGATGGCACCCATGGTTGGCAAGGACATCACGGAACGCCTTATCCTGCCCCGGTTTTGTGAGATGTGCTGTGACTGCAGGATGTTCCATGTTCGGAAGGTATCATGAGAGTCACTTTCCTTCCTTTAAGAACATAGAGCCCTAATGAGTAATGTACTGACATGTGACATTTAATAGATTATTTTTAAGGAACTCCATGTGTGTTACTGCTTTGGAATGCCAGCAATGCTTTTGTTGTCAGGTCTGTGCTGCCAATTTTGGGGACATTTGCAGTGTCGTTGGCCAGCAAGCCACTGAGGAAATGTTGGTAAGTACAGCGGGTACCAAAGCATAAGTAGAAAAAGTCTGTGTGTGAAGCTCGAAATGCATTTACCCCAAAGCTGTATTAGTACACCCCATGAATTTAAACTAGAAAGTGGTGCTGACTGGAGTTTAGAAGTTTAAATTTGAGTAACCCAGCACTTGAATCATGCTTTGCTAAGGGCAGTCTGTGAAACACAGAATTGTGGTTGCCTTTACCATGTCTACTAAGTAAATCAATTGTGATTTTTTTTCAGGTGAACTTTAACTTTATTGCAACCCTTAAGTTTTCGGGGCACGCTTCTCCCCAGCTGGTTAGTTCTGGGTGGTGGTTCTCTTAGTTCATATTGTGCCCGTGTCTGCAGTATCTGTGGGGTGTAAGTCAGGCATGGACTGTTGGGTACATCGGGCTCCGTGTGTGTGTGTGTGTGTGTGTGTGTGTGTGTGTGTGGTCAGTTATGAATTAGATGTGGTGTATTAAAACTTACTAAATAGTATTAAACAATTTCCTAGTTAAGAAAACCCATTGTTTAAGACTGTGGAGCAGGAGACGGAAGCAGAGGTGCCACAGAGCCCTGTCTGTGTGACTAATACACCCTCCTCTGGCATAGCTGCCCAGGTTCTTCCAGCTTTGCTCTGACAACGTGTGGGGAGTTCGCAAGGCGTGTGCTGAGTGCTTCATGGCAGTCTCGTGTGCAACGTGTCAGGAAATCCGGCGGACCAAGTTATCAGCACTGTTTATTAATTTGATCAGTGATCCTTCACGTTGGGTATGATTATCATTCTTATAAAATTATACTTTTGAGTCTCTTTTAAAGTAAACATTGCATAATTTCAGAAATAATTTATGCCTGGCATAGTGGTATTCTCATGTGAACCTAGATACTCAGGAGGCTGAGGCAGGATGATTGCAAGCTTGGGCAACTTAGTGAGACCTTGTCTCAAAAATGGAATAAAAAATGGCCAGGCACATGGCTCAGTGAGAGAACACTTGCCTAGTATACCCCAAGCCCTGGGTTCAACTCTCCATACTGCTGACAAAATAAATGAATACATTGTGATTTAAGGTATACTATCTGTCAGTTCATACTTTCAGGCCTAGGCAGTAGAGAGACTGCTGTATCAGGAGTTTGTTTCTGGTAACTGGACAGTGTCTCCTTGCAAATCTGAAGCATGCAGGTCTTCCCTGGGTTGCTGTACTGCATGACCTTGTGTTGCGCACTGGATGTGAGGGGAGGGCAGCTGGACACACCGTGCCCTGCTCGTGCTGTGAGGCTCCCTTGCACTGCCAGTGCTCTGTGGAGAGTCTTGGCATCCCTGCTGTAAGGGAGCACTCTGGGTTTTACACGATGAGTTTGCTTGGTTTTTGTTACAGTGATAATTAATTACTCCTTCATAATAGCTTCATAAAAGGAGTTAGGAAGTATTCCCCCCTCTTCTCTTTATTCTAGTTCATGAAGAATTAGTATTTTTCTTTGCTAGAACCAGTGGTGAAGCCGTATGGGCCTGGGCCTTTCTTAGTGGGTGGTTTTAATTTTCTGACTTATTGGAAACAGGCTCAGAGATAATGCAGTATCCAGAGAGTAATAAATTCATGCATATAATTTTACTGTTTTTATGCATATGATTTGAAAATAACCTTTTAATGTTTTTATGAAACTAATGCTTGTTGCCTTGCAAAGGGTAAAATGATCCCTGAGTTCACAGTATTTTTTGCTGTGAAGCATGTAATTCTGACTATTTAAAACTTTGAGACTGGGCATGGTATACATGCCTGTTATCCCAGCATTTGGGAGCCTGAAGCAGGAACACTACCATGAGTCTGAGGCCAGCCTGGGCTACACAGTGAGACCCTGTCTCAAAAAACCAAAAATAAGAAAAATTCAACTGAATCATTTTTGTACCTGCTTCTCAAGGTAGACAGGTACTCATAGATGAGCCTCACAAGTATTTGCCTTTGTAAACTTCACACATACATCGTACTCATTTTAAATATGCATGTCTTTGCACAACTTCCTGGAAGAGAGATCCTGAACTCAGGGGACTTGGTGTGTGGTGCAGCTGAGGTTCAAGGATACCAGTTCCTCCATTAGGGCCACTCCGGTCGGCTGTATGCATCTCACTCCTCCCATAAAACTTTTTCTCAGTTGTTTTTGGGAATTGAACCCAAGACCTTCACACTGAGCTACACTCCCAGCCCTTTTCTGTATTTATGTTTTACTTTGAGGTGGGGTTTTGGTAAGTCCTTACAGCTAGGCTGGGCTTGAACTTGTGAACCTCTTGCCTCAGCATGCTGGGGTGCTAAGATTACAGGTATGCACATCATGCCCAGCTGTAGTGTTTGAACCCTGATTGAGAAATAATAAAGAAGTAAACATGCAGTAGAACTCTACCCAGCCCTCCCACATGGCATTTGTCAGTGACAGGCACGGTGGGCTTCTGGTCTTCGGAGAGAGACCCTTTGCAGTATGTCTCCTGCTTGTAGACCTTCAGTGTCTACGGCACATCTTGTTGGCTTTTTTGCTGTTACTTTCTGCTTGGTAATTTTGGCTTTTTTTTTTTCCTTGAGAATAAAGATTTGTTTTTAAAGATGTACTATATGCAAATATTACAAGATCTCATATTCAGATTGATGGTTTAAATATATAGACTTAGAATAACAATTGAAAGTAAAGGAGAAAAAATAATTTATAAATATTTTAAAATTTCAGCTGAAGAATGATTTATAGTTCAGAATCCGAGTTTCTTTTAGTAAAGCTTTATTATCCCAAACATACTTTGACTTTGGTATTTGGAAAGTAGATGATTAAATATGGGGATAGGTGTCTGTGTTTAAAAAACACTTTTACAGGGTATGGAAGTCCCAATCTGTAATCCAGGTACTCTGAGGCTGAGGCAGGAGAATCACAAATTTAAGCTCAGCATAGGTAATTTAGCAGCTTACTGAGACTTTGTCTCCAAAAATAAGAGAGAAAGATGTAGTTCAGTGTGAAGGCATTGTGGCTCCCTTTCCCAGTAGCAACCAACAGATAGTTAGTTCTTGTTCTTATGTGACCATCCTTCCTTTCTTCCTAGGTTCGCCAAGCAGCCTTTCAGTCTCTGGGACCTTTCATATCAACTTTTGCTAATCCATCTAGCTCAGGCCAATATTTTAAAGAAGAAAGCAAAAGTTCAGAAGATATGTCAGAAGATAAAAATAGGTATAATTTTAAAACACTGTTTTCAAAATTTACTATGTGTGAGCATTATTTCCACTATTTTATATTCTTTTTATTAGAGTACTATTTCTCTTGAAAGTAAAAAATGGTTAATATTTTCATAAAGTTTTATTTATAAAAGATAATTGTTTTCTCTTCAGGTAGTTACATATTAAATTAGAATATGTATATAATTTACTTAGTTTGGTGCCTTGCACACAGAAAACTAAATGGTAGATTTTGTAATGTTTGAATAAGCTTATTCAATAAATTATTTACCTACTAAACTGTTTGTATTTAGAATATAAGAGAGTGCTTAAACTCTTTAAACATTTCTTAAAATTTTGTTTTTAAGGAGTAAAACCTAGCTTAAGGATTTTTTTTGCATATTGTCCACTTCTCTTATTTTTCTTTTTAGTCAGGTAATTTAATGTGAGCTGAATTTTCTGCCTACAGAATAATTATAATGTTGCCCTTGAAGAAGTGAGCATTTTAATGATTAGCCCTATTTAGTTTGCTTATTAGCTAAAATATCACTTTTAAATGTCAGTCTACTATGATAACCAGATTTGTAAATAAACTTAAAAAATGAACTTTGATATTTTTTCACAAATTTTTTTAATTAAGAATTTATAACAATTTTAGTTTTAAATTATACTTAAGGAAATAACTTAGACCTGGGTGCATGGGAAATATGCATAAAATGTAAGATTTTGCACATAAAGTAATAGTCTGGGTATATGTTTTTGAAATGGTCCCTACTGCAATGCTTGAGATGCCATAGTGTCTTGTCCCTCCCTTGTCATGATGCTAACAGACATTTTCTTCTGTAGGTCTTGATACTGTGATATTTGCTTTCTTGGTGTTTTGATTTGGCAGTTCTTCCTTTCTTCTCTGCTGCCTTGTTTTACCCTTTTGCCCGTTCTCCTACTGTCCTGCTGAATAGCCAAACAAACCTGAGGTACTGTTTTTTGTAAAGGAAGAAAACTCACTTTAACTCTGTCTTCCTAGCAAGTGAAGTCTCGGTTCTTTTGAAAACAACTGCCAGAAGTAACTTGACCCAAAGGATGGGGGGGTGGGAATGTTACAGTTTTCATTTTTAAAGTTGGCATACTTTTTTACTATTGATTTGAGTATATTGAAGACTGTGTAATTCACTTTTAAATCTAGAGAGGGCCTTGTAGGACAGGGTCTACACAGAGCCAGATGGTAAGATTACCATGTCACAGTGGCTACAGTCTCGAGCAGGCATAGGCATGACACAGACAGAGGGCTCTGCCATGTTCTCATGAGACTTGGAAAAGCCCACCTATGTGACTGTTAAGGCCGTGTTTGTTAACTGGCCCTGTGTCAGGAGATCTATTTAAAGGTAGTTTAATTCTTTCTCCACTGTCTCATGGGCAGGTCAGTGCTGCTTATACCACTAGGTGTAACTGAGCTGTGTTCCTGGTGTGGTGCAGGGAAGAGAGCTGCTGGCTAAGGAAGGAGTTAGATTAAATACTGCACACATGTTGTTTTCCTAGCATCATAAAGGAGAATCCTGTATGTCACTAAGGCCCTACACCATACATTTCTGTGCCTTCCCTCCTTAAATACAGCACTGACTTTGGTTTCTCTGCTGCCTGGAAGCTTCTGTACTTACATTGATTGATTACTTTTGCACATTTAACTGAGCACCTACTCTGAGCCACTGTAAATGGAAGGCTGGAACTCAGTCCCTGGCCTTGAGGCCCTTTCACCTTCTTAGAATTCAAGTTTCTCGGGTGAATGGAAGTAAGCAGATCGTTGACCCTCCACGTCCACTCCTTGCAGCGTTTCACCAGGCCTAGGACCATTTGCTGTCACTTCCTGCTATTCTAAGACCTCAATGACTGCAAACATCTGAATTAATCAGATTTACCTTTCGCTCACCCACTCAGGCTTATTCTCGCTTTCCAAAGTGGGTCTAGCTACTACTTCTAGAAAGAAAATCAAATGTTCAAACTTGTAAAATTGTGTAAAATAGGCTTCTATTTATATTTACTAAAGTTATGCTGTCATCTGAATGCACTGTGTTCCTTGGTTTTCCTGCCTTTGTTCTTGCTGCCCTCTGTTTGGGAAGCTGCCCTGTTCCATCTGTGCCCTCTTTGGACAAAGGCAACCACAGTGTGGGCGCTGCTGCAAGTCACTTCTCCCGGAGCCCTTTCCTGCCTGCCAGGGAACTCAGAGCTCTTTGTGCTCCCAGCAGCACTGGGCCTGGAACCCTCAGCGTCAATTGTGTCTAACTGTGTACAACTGCGTGTTGTATGGCAGGCTGCCATGGGCTAGGTCTAGTTTTTATCCTTGTTTATGCTAGGATCTTCACTGGACCTGGCACATGATTGGCATTTATTAATCTTAATCTGAAAAGCAGTAGATTTGATTTCAAAAACCTCAACTGAACCACTTCTCTGTTCTTACTGCTAAGCTAAGGTGCAGGACCGTACTGTGAAGCACATCCTGGAGTGTTCACTTTCTCTGCATGTTGAGCTAGATATCCTCAGACTCTCTTCTGCCTAGATTACTAAATTGTGTTTTCTGGGTACCCAGGGTGTCTGCTGAGCAGCTCTGAGGATATTACCTAAGCTCACATTGGCGGGAAAGACAGTGAGGATTCTCATTGAGAAACTTCTAACAGGCCCCGGTGCACCTGTGCCGCGAGATGCTGTGTGCAGGGTTCAGGTCTCCTTTGTTTTACAGCTACAGGTGCCTTGGATAACAGCTTGTAGAGGTCTGGCAGGGACAGCCTGAGCATTCGCCATTTAGTAGATTGGCACACACTGACTGTAACCTAGCTCTGGGGAGAATCACTTTTTAGAGAATTTCTACTTTTGACAGTTTGAAGCTACATATGCAGTATTTCTTCCCAGAATTTAATACCGAGGAAGATCTTTTCATGCCCTGTACTTGTCTCTTAAAAACCATACTGTGACTGTGAAGCTTGCATGTACTCCTGAGTTTGCATTTGTTAGGTGAGTAGAAAAACTTGTCAGTCATCTCCATGGGACTTTGTTGCCAAGAATATTGGAATTCAGTCTTCATGTTGGTGAGACAGTGATCAAAGAACTCAATCTCCTGGAATAACTTTACATTCTAGACAGGCATTTAATTAGGTTCTTTTGTATGTGTTTTTTTTTGTTTTTGTTTTGGTTTTGGTTTTGGTTTTTTTTTGGTACCAGGGACGAACTCACAACTCCGTATTTGCCAAGCAGACATGCTGCTGAGCTAAGCCCCGGCCCTGTATGTGTTTTAAATGGAAGTTTCTTAAATTTGTCAGATAATAAATGAAGTCTTTTAAGCTCTACCCTTTCATTGTTCCCCATTCTCTTGGTTTAAACTTATTAAAATAACTTATTTGAATGATTTCAGAAAAATTACAGAAAGAATCTCATATCTCTTTTATCCAAATTCTTCAAGTATTATTTTACCATATATGCCCTACAGTTTTTTCTGATCTCTTTGAGTATAAGTTTTAGACAGGATAGTTTTTTTTTTTAATTTCTTAAATTTCACTATGTATTTCTTGAGAACACAGACATTGATACATAACTAAAATTAAGAAATTAATGGTGGCACACGCCCATAATCCCCGCACTTGTGAGGCCAAGGTAGGTGAATCACTGAGTTCAAGGCCAGACTGGGCTACATAGTGAATTCAAGGCCAGCGTGAACTACACAGCGAAACCCTGTCTCAAAAGACAAAAATAATAATTGATACATTATCTAATCTATAGATTTTGTTCAAATTCCACCATAAATGTTCTGTATAAAAGAAAAAATAATGTGCTTTTTAATAAAGAACAAATGGTGGGAAAAATCTGCATTCGAAAGCACATTTATTTTCCATAAGAGCACTCATGCCATTCTTGGAGGGCAGGGGATCTTAGAGGATCGCCTGCGGCAGGTGACATCTTGCTGAGCGAGGACTGAATGAATGCAGAACCCCAGCCACCCCTGGGCCTGACTCATGTGTGAGGGGCGTCTCGTAGGTGGGGACTGCATGCTTGGCTGTCACGGAGGTGCTGTGTGTGCGCACTAGAGGTGTATGTTTATGGAATGGAAGGGAAACAGAGAACAGAAAATGCTGTCAGTGTGCCGTGTGTTTTCAGAGTACTATGTGGATCCTGTTTGTGTGTATTTTTAAAACTCTTCAGTCATCAGTATCCGTTTGAAGGCAAGGTGGAGGTCAGCTCAACTTCCCCCAATGCACACAGCACACGGTGCTGCCTCACTGGGTCCCAGTCCCCGTGGACATCGCACTTGTTTTTCTCTGTGGGCCTCTGGTTCCCTGTCTTGCACTGTGTGTACTTGAATGCACATGACATTTCAGGGGGACCTCTGTTTTCCTCCATAGTCACCTTACAAACTTGCATCCTTATCTTCCCTTCCTTATCTCCCTCCGTATTTCTTAAAAGGAGGTGTCTCTTCTAGGGGTGTCAGTCCCCTGTGTGGGTTTTTGTTTTGCAGGGCTGGGAATGGAGTCCAAGGCCTTCACATCCACAGGCCTGTTTTTTATTTTGAGACAGCCTTTTGCTCAGGCTGGGCTCAAAGTTGCAGTCTCCCTGCCTCAGCCCTCAAGAGTCCTGGGATTGTAGGCATTTGCCAGCACATCCTGCTGCTTGTGTTTTTTCTTCAGAAAGTGTCTTATCAGTTACGCTTTCATTGTCCGCGTCTCAGTTCTTCCATGTCCTCCTCAGCCTGAACATGTGCTCAGTTGTACCATCCTTTTGTACCAGAAAAATGCCTTCACTGTTGGTCTTTGGGGTTATCCAGTTTTCTTCATTAATGTTTGTTACATCTCTGGGGAGTCAGTCCATGCCGTCCACCTCTCTTTACTCTCCGCCTCTTCCGACATCTCAGTAGACATCACTACCTAGTTCTTCACAGAGGGCTCCCCTTGGAGTCCTAAGCCCGGTAGCTTTTCCATCAGACTTCGCTTCCTCTTTGTTGGTGCTACCAGTGTCTGCTCAGTTGACTGGGCCATAGTGTGACTCTTTCCCAATTCCCCTGTGTTTCTGGCCTCCGGTGTGAAGTGAGGCCCTATGTGCTGCTGGTTTTGGCAGTATGGGATCATGTTCATAGCTTCCAGAGCCCCAAACATCAGAATCTCTCCCGGCTCTTCCAGAGTTCTACCTCACATTCTCCTCTGCTTCCAGAGGAACACATCTAAGAGCAGAACTCCTGCCTCACTTCCTGCCAGTCATTGGAGTAGCTCCAGGGTACAGTGGATCCCAAGACAATTTCATTCTTTTGCATCACTGTGCTTCTTCACACCAGAGATCATTGTCTTCTGAAGACAGTGTATTGTGTGATGCCTGTTGGCTCCAGCCTTGTTGGCTGGCTCTGCCTCGTAGCCGTTTCTCCCCACAGCCCCGTGTGAATGCGCAGTCAGCGTTCCCTCCCCATCCTCAGCATGCATCGTCTCTGCTCACCACCCTCCCTAGGGAAGTCACTTGTTTGCCTGTTTCTTCTCTTTGTCCTGATTGTAATCTCCACAGCCAGATCTGCATCTCATTCCCATTCTCGAAACTGATTTAATTTTCTGGCTCCTAGTAGGTGCTCAGTAAAGGCATATTCAGTTTAATCGAATCAAGTAAAATATAGGAACTAACAAGATGGGTGGTAGTTGTCAGTGGGCTTTACCTAGGAACTTGTACGCTTTGTCCTTAGCATGTAAGTTCTGGCTTTTTGAGAAGACCTTTGGGAGTAGAGATGAAAATTGTGGAAGAAAGAAAAATAATCCTTTATACTTTAGCATATTTTAATGTATTTTTGTGAGACACAAAGTATCTTTCACACAGTTGTGTAGTTTTTTTCTCCCTTTTCTTACAAAAGCAAAAAGGCTTTAATTCTCAGCTTTCACTATCTGATTGGAACAGAGTGGCAATATAAACAGTCCTGAAAATTAAATAACTTAAAATGTTTATGTACCTAAAGAAGCACTATAGAATTTTCTACTTCCTACTATTTTTCTTTAATTACCTAGTATTGAAATTTGCATGGGTTTGTGAACCCCAGGATTCAATGTTACCATGTCCAACCAGTAATAGTGCTTAGTGTCTAGACTCAGCGTTTGACAAGTGTTTACTTCTGAAAGCACAACACCTGGTAGGAAAAAGCTCTTCCATTTGTATTTTTAATATTTAATTTGCCTAAGTTAAATCCCAGTAATCACTTCTAGTAATCACTTTTACACTTTCATGTTGGTTTTGTTTCTGCCATTGAAATAATAGAAGGCTCCGAGATGAAGACGTGCCAGTGGATGACCCCACAGCCCTCAGCGTCACTGGCCCCAATGCCTGGCTGGAGTGCGCTCTGGAAGACAGTGGTGCCGGAGCAGCACAGGATCCTTCACGGGAGCTGAGTGTTCCAGCCAACAGCCCTTCACTTTGTCCTTTGTCCTCAGAGCCTCAGCCAGAAGCAGTTTATAGTGACAAGGGTGGAGAACCCGATGGCTGCAGATCCGCATTGCAGCTGGAGGCTGACATCACCACACAAGACTCTGCCCTCCTAGATCAGGAATTGTATAACTCCTTCCATTTCTGGAGGACTCCTCTTCCCGAAATCGATCTGGACATTGAGCTGGAGCAGGACTCTGGGAAGAGCCTTGGCCTGGAGAGGCCAGAGGAGGCCTCTGAAGACCCCGGTCCAGGTTCTCCAAACATCAGTATGGCCACCAGGAGGGAGTTGGAGGAGATGATAGAAAACCTAGAGCCCCACATCGATGATCCCGATGTTAAAGGTAGGGAGAGTCAGTCAAGTGCTTTATTCTGGAATGGATCTATATACAATATGCTGCAACTTGAAAAAACTTGGACCAGGAAAACTGCCTTCTTTTAAGATTGGTAGATATGACTAAGCTTTAAATCTCTTTTGTTGATATCCCTTTCTAAAAGCTCACTATTATTTAGAGCTTTGCGTTCACAGTTTAAAAATTTTGAGCCCTGCCCTGTTTTGCTGTGGATCGTATAAGCCTTTTTTACTGTAAAATAGCAGACACTGTGTTTTTTTTCAAGAAAAGGCTTACCATCTGATAACAGCGGACACAGGTTTGTTTTCTGTGGAATGTGTGGTTTTAAGAACGTTTGACTTATACCAGTCAGATTTGACTTTGTTGCTGCGTAACACACTTGTCACCCTGGTGGCTGCAGGTGGCATTCGAGCTTCTTACCCAAAGCCTCCCCGCCACCCCTCCAGCCAGCCTGTTCAGCCCTGTGGTCACACCTCTCTGGACCCCATGTAAATGGGATTGAGCGGTGTGTCATACATGCCCCGCCCCCCACGCAGCATGTCTGAGATTTGTCCTCGTGATTGCATATCTCCATTATTCAGTCTTTCTGTTGCTTTGTGAGCTGGGGTAGGAAAGAGATTGGGTGATTTCAGCAGGACACTGCAGGATGTTTCTCCCGTAGACACGCAAGTTTTTATGGAAGCTTGACAGCTGTGCTTTTTGCTTTATTCCTCACTTGTGGCCCTATCATAGGTTTTTTACTCTGGTGAGCCAGTTTTCTGCATTTTGTGACAACTTTGTGATACAGCAAGTATTGAGATTTTTCATTTTGTTTGACCAGAATCCTGCATTAGTGTTCCTCTCTCCCGTGAGGGTAATTGAGCACAGATAATCACACCACCAGTGAGGGTCAGTTGTAGCAAAGATAGTCTGCCTTAGACAAGTGTTCTATTTCTTCACAGCTTTCAGCCGTTTGTCACTGCTGTTAGCTTCATAACTGTCATACTTTCTTTTTCTTAAATTCCATTTTTATCTCAAATACAGTGGCAGCTAGTCCTCCAGCCTGTTTTGGGGGCTCTTGTTGGATGACAATACTGGCTGGTTCTCTAGCACTTAACACATACCAACTGAAATACTGAATGAATTTGTTAAAAAAAAGTTTTATGCTTTTTTAACAAATAAGGATATTTTTTCATAGTTTGCTTTTTAAAAACCTACGTGTATATGGAAGTTTCAGGATGACTTTGTGTTGGCAAAAGTGGCTAATACTGTATACTATATGACTTAAGACTTGCGGTTGAGAGATTTTAATACAAATATTGTCTGTGACTTAAATCAGTTCTGTTTCTAGTTCCGCTTTTAGGCTTGTATAGTGTAGATTTGTTACATTCTGCCATCTGTCAGAAGGTTCTCAGTCGTTAGCCTGAGGGGCTGGGGACCGTTCCTGACGATGAGCACACAGATGGGGCAGATGGGCACCACGTCGGGGCATGCCCTGGAGGCTGCAGAGCGCTGGAGCTTTGCTTCCAGTGAGACTGGAGGCATGTCTAGTCTCGTGGATTCAAGTGACCACCTTTGTCTTCCTCACCTCAGAACAGGTTTTGAATTTTAATGACACACTAATTTGGTGACTTTTTTCTTTTTTAATTCTGCTAGTGTAGGATGGTTATTTCCCTCAAACTACAAGAAACCATCAGTGTTTCTCAAAGGCAGAACTTTTATCCCAGATGAAAGCCGAGCTCTGTCAGAGATGTGTATCACTTCCACTGCCTTGTGAGCGTTTTCCATGCTCAGTGAGTTGAGCCAGGGTCTTCCTGCACAGCTCGTCTGCCCAGGGAAGTGACACCAGGGCCTTTGAGACATACTCTGGAAGTCCACTGTTCCCACATGAATCCTGGAGCTCAGAATAGAATGATAGACCCTAGTAAGAAAACGAGCAGCAGCGTTTGGTCTGCGCTGCAGGTGAAGGCAGGTTTTGGTAAAGCCCTGTGTGCTATCTCCCCTTGGTCTTATGACGGTGCCGCCTTAGACCTTACACCCAGAGCACAAACCTCTTCCTCTCCTACCTGGAGCCTAGAGTCATCACTGGGCTCCATCTTAGCTCATTTTCCAAAGCAGTTTTTCCCCCAAAATAAGACCTAGCCGGAAAATAATTAGCCTTGAAAACCAGAGAGGGAAAATGCCAGCTCTGTTAGCCTCATCTTACTTAGCTGCTGCTGCTGTTCTCACGGTAGCTGCTCCTTGAGGTGGGTCCTTGAGTCTCGTTGGCTTTGGGTAGGGGAAGACCTTGAAAGATCCCAGAGAGCCGGTGCAGAAGAGTAACCAAGGGCCTCTGCAGATTGCTGCTGGAGTTCTCAGGATGAGCATTCTCCCCAGACACTGCATGCACAGGCTCCTGCAGCTGGCCTCGTTTTCCAAGAATACGCTGGTAGACAGAACCTCCTCGTGTGCATGCCTGGTGCTTGATGTACTTAGAGATTTTACACTCACTGTAGCATATGCATAGGTTGTCTTAGGTAGTTGCTATTTTGTTTAAATGCATTTTAATTCAAATTTTTCACATTTTGAACATCCAAGTTGATTACTTGCATTAAATGCATGCTGAGCAATATTTTTTGCTAAATTTCCTGTTGCCAGGGGCTGGGGATTTAGCTCAGCGGCATAAGCGCCTGCCTTGCAAGCAGGCAGTCGTGAGTTCAATCCCTGATACTGATAAAAACGAAAAAGACCAAAAAAAAAATTTCCTGTTGCCTCGCGGGCCAATGGAGAATGCCCTTTCCTCTGTCTGAATGTCCTTTATGAGGAAGGCAGTAGTCCTTGCCAGGTTAAGGAACGACCGCGTGGTAAGTTGTTCTGATTTGCTGCGAGCCTGGCAGTGCTCCCAGGGGACCCCTTGTTTTTGGGGCAAGATAATGATTTCATTTTCAGAGCGTTAGAGCCGAGGCGGCATCTATGTTGTTTGTTTTAAGATAAAAGATGTTAATGTAAGAGTTGTTTTTTCTAAAATAAAACCTCAGTACGTATATTTAATTGCAGTTTTGGCACTTTGTGACAAAAAGTAGGTTTGGGGTTCAGTTTGGGCCTTCATCTCTAAGAGGATCACCATTACCAAATTACAGAAAAACAAGCTGGGGTGAGATGGGCTGTCGGCTGTGACTGCCTCAGAAGTCTTTGTAATTGCCATTATTTTATGTTGGCAGGGTTTGTGTGACTGCTCTGCTGCTAAAGTAGCTTAGTAAGTAAGCCTTGGCTCTCCCACGGCATCGTTAACTTTGCTGAATCGATTCCTGTTAATAAACTGGAGGTGCCTCCACAACTAGATAGCATTTGCCTTTTCATACTAACGCAGAATAATGTACAGTAGTGGATAGACATTTTAATCTCGGGAAAGCATATTAGTTTTCTCCTTTTTTTCTTTGAGGACTAATTATGGATTGACCATCGTAGTCTTTTTTCCAGCTTTTTGATGGCAGTATGAAAAGTTCTCTTGCCACTGCTAACACATAGTGCGCCGGAGAGGGTGCCACCCGGCTGCCCCTCACTGTCTTTTTCTCCTCCCGCAGCGCAAGTGGAGGTGCTGTCGGCCGCCCTGCGCGCCTCCGGCCTGGACACCCACACAGAGGCTGTCGGCATGGAAAAGAGCGGCGAGCTGCAAGATGAACCGGGTATAAATGAGCTACAAAATTGTAAAATAAATCAAGATGATTCTGTGCCTTTAATCAGCGATGCTGTTGAGGTAACGAACCCAGTGGCATTGACCGATGGGAGCAGTTTGAGTCTGGGAGTCTGTTGTTGGGGGACATTACAGCTGATCATTTCCTAGCTAGCACATGCCGTCAGCAGCTCTTCTTTTGCATGAAGTTTTAAAAGTCCTAGTCCTTGCCACCTCGTGTCCTTGTGACGCTAGTGTCACAGTAAACGCCTGGAGGCGTAAATGCCAGTGCCGTCTATATGCCCGTCCTGCTAGACTCAACATGAACGTAGCTCACTGCAGTGAAATAGTCTTACTGGAAACAAAGCCCTTTATCAAGAATAATTAATTCTTCCCTTTTCTTTTTGGAGAGGTGCTTTGTTTCTGATCGGACCATTTCACTGCAGCGAGCAACACAGTATTCTGAGCAGAAGATCGGGACTTGAGGCCATGTTGCGGAGGCCAGTGGCATTATCTGGACTCGAGTGTGAGGGTGGGTACTGTTCTGGCATCGTCTCTGCTGCACAGGTGTAGCTGTTCGTATGCTCTTTCCCTCGTTTCCCACCACAGCCCTTTCTGGCCAGTGCCACTGAGTGTCTGTGTTTCTTCCCCTGCGTTGTGTAGACAGAGGGGACCCACCATTCCTTGCTGAAAGGCAGTGGTCCCAGAGCCTGGCCGCTTGAGTAACAGACAGCTCAGGACAGTCCTTACACCTCAGGGTTGGCAAGAGGATTCTTAATGCCGTAGTTAGTGTGTTTCTGTTTTGTTTTTCATTAGCTGACATCTAGTGTATTAGAAACGAGTATAATGTTAGTGCTTTGGACTGAAACCTTGACTGTTTACTGGGTATTTTTCTTTATGTCTGCTTTTTGGAAGGTTTAGGCTTATTTTTTGTATAATGTTTGTGAAATTAGATATTAACTCGAAAATAACTACACATGACACCCAATGGCCTCTACAATATTTGAAAGAATGTCTCAATACCACTTGATAAGTGAGCTAATTTGAGAAATTTAAACTATTTCAAAATTACTTTAAGTTTACTTGTAAATTACATTCAAAGTTACTTTTAAATTACTTTTCATTTTTTGAGAATCAGCAAGTTGATTTAAATCAGGAGTTACGGGGTCTTAGGCGTATGTATAAAATAATAAAACCTGTACCAGTTGCATGCCCAGTGTGTCTTTCGGACAGTCTGAAGGTGAGTGGGCTCGTAGAATAGCTGAAGTGAGATACAAGACAGCAGCTCTGAAGTAGTACTCTCTCCTCACAGAGCATGGATCCCGCCCTCCACTACATCCACAGTGACTCGGACGTGAGCACCAGCAGCAGCTTCAGCCCGGATGAGGAGAGGAGACCTAAAGTGCAGGCAAGTGCCAGGCACCTTCCTCTCTGCTGGTTCTCTGCCCTCTTCTACAGCCCGTCTCCTACCCGTGTTCATCTCTGCACAGATAAACTGGGATGTCACTTAGAATAAGAAAATGTAGCAGAAAGTTGCACACAGGCACAGATCTTCCCCAGCTGCATGGGATCTGATGTAACAGCAGAGGTCCCCTGTTTCTCTCAAGACAGCTACAAGCATCTCACACTACCAGGTCTTTGCTTGTGCCTAAGTCACTGAGAGTTCTAACATGCAGCTCTGGTTTCAGGACAGAACATGTAAAATAGCTCAATGCCACTGTCGAGTACAGTGGACCCTGAGTCAGTCTACCTCCAGGGACTCAAAAGTGGGGACCCCGAGTCACAGTCTACCTCCAGGGACTCGAAAGTGGGGAGAGCGCGTCAGGAACTGTTGGGGCATGCTCTGTGCTTTTCTTTCTGCTTGTGAAAAACACAGTGAGACTCTCACACGTGTGCCCCCAGGTCCCCGATAAATGAGCTACCTCCCAGTACCCCATGGCCAGCCCTCTGTCATACCCATTGGCAGTGCACGTTGGCCACGCACACTTCTCAGGGGAGCGTCGATACCATGTGACAGCAGCACCGCATGTCACGGTCCCCAGGCGTGTGGCTTGCTTCTGGGACCGTATTAGTACCAAAAGTAGATCTCATAGGTCAAATTGTACATGTGCTTGCTTGTTGCTCATCTTCTTACTAAAAATGGAGTTGGGGTGTGTAGTTTTGAAATATGCTCTTCCCTAGCTGTACTGTACAGACGCAGGGCTGTAACAGATACCTCCACCTGACTGATTTTTATATGCAGTGCAGGTGAGGGGCAGGCAGTAGTGTCCCTGGCTCTTCTCCCCTGCAGTCACTGCACTTCCCAGGAGCAGCACTACACTGTGCTTCGATGGCTCCTTCCAGGCTGTGGCACATGCGGCAGCAAGCTGTGTCTGCTGCTTTTCTTCACACTCCACACGCATGTTTGCTGTGATGTAAAGTGCCCTCTGGGGTGTGTGGCTGTTTTAAGGAAAACGTGTTGCCGATTGTGCACAGATGACGTATGTTCCATGTTCGTGGTGCACGTGCCACCTCTTGTGGTAGCTCTTAACTTCAGTAATTCAGGACTTACCAGCTGTTTCCATTCATTGTGGTTCTAAGTTCTGTGTTTCCCCTGGTGCGTGTTTCCTTTGTTGGGTATGTGAGCACTTGACCTGTTCAGATCAATGTGCTGGAAAGTCCTGCCAGACTTGCCCCAGCGGCTGCAGGCACATCTGAACACTACACTGTCACACTGTCTCCCATCTCCCCAGGATGTGGTGCCTCAGGCCCTGTTGGATCAGTATTTGTCTATGACCGACCCTTCCCGCGCACAGACAGTGGACACGGAGATTGCCAAGCACTGTGCATACAGCCTGCCCGGGGTGGCCTTGACCCTTGGGAGGCAGAACTGGCACTGCCTGAGAGAGACCTACGAGACCCTGGCCTCCGACATGCAGGTGGGTGTGGTACTGAGGGGTGGGGACCATGCTCTGTGGGTTGGCTGGCAAAACCCAGAGAACCGCTTCAGGGCTTTCAGCATCAACCTTCTGTCACCATGAGGTGTGTGTGGATGATGTCAAAGAAAGAGTTCCAGAGTTTAGCTTCTCAGCTTTTCTCTTAACATGGCTGACATGCCTGAGTTCCTAGCTTAGGACTTGTGTATGATCTAAAGTTGGTTTGTAGATTCATTCTTTGGAATAAAAGATAAAATGTCCCCCTAGAAATCCTGGTATAAGGGCCTATTCGATCCCAGAGCCCAAAAGATCTTTCAGCCTTCAGAGACAGGATGGCAGGGTTTATTAGCACGGTCCTGTTGGCGTCCCCTTGCCGACTGTAATTGCAGACTGAGCCGATGGTTATTGTGTCCTTATGGGCCAGCCACTTTAGAAGAGCGTCCTGAAAGCCACTGTGTCTGGCAGCCAACTTTTTTTAAAAAATTTGACAGTATTTGAGGTTGAACCCAGGACCCTTGTACTGAACTGCAGTCCCAACCCTTTAAAAAGTTGGAGAGTTTTTAACTTCAAGATGGCGCCTCACCAAGTGACCCAAGTTAGGCTTAAACCTAGGATCCTCTGGATTAACCTCCCAGAGTGCTGGGTTATGTGCCTGTATCACCACACGTTCTCTAGCATCTTTGTGTGGCTCTCCTCCTAGCTTTGGTGACCTAACACCTCCCCGGGTTGCTGTTAGGTCTGGGCTCCAGGAACCAAGAATTTTGCTCCTCTTGCACAGAAAGCTGGTCTTCTAGTGAAATCGAAAGTGGTCAGTCAGACTGTTACACTGGTAGGAATAGTTTCCCTTCACCCTGCAGAGCTCACTGCATTTTTTGAGGAATCAGTGCCGTGGACTCAGTACATGGACAGTGGAAAGCAACCTTAGGGGCCTGCACCCCGAGGGCGGGGCTGAACGTGGGCAGAGCCTAGGGTGCCCAAGAGGCTCCTTGTGGCAGCATCTGTCCCTACGGTCCCCTCCCATCTGCCTTTGCCCGGCTTAGATGAAAATTCAGGTGTACATTTAATCCAAGAGGGACGCTGAGACCCACACAAGCACAGAGTTAGACTAAGGCACACGTCAGATTTTTAAATTAATGCAACAGGGAGGGAAAAATGGATTTGTTGATTGAGGGGTTCTGTCTTCATTTACTGAGACAGAGTGGCAGTGCAGAGCCCAGGCTGGCACTGAACGCCTCATCCTTCATCTCCCTGCCTCTGTCTCCTGAGTGCTAGGATTCCAGCTGTATACCACCACAGCCTGCTCAACACATTGCTACTTTGAAGATTCCTATTAATGTATTTCAGCGTGGGCATTCTTTTCCAAGAGCCATTCAGCAAACAGATTTTCTTGTTTTTCTCTAAATTGCCAGTTTTGTACATACAAGTTTTGGACCTTTGATCCCAGAAGGGCAGACAGGAATCCCAAGGAAGTCAAGTGGGGCAGTGTGAGGTGGCCTTTGATACATGCAGGGGTCCGGGCACCGGGATCAGAGCTGTACAGGCAGTGATTCCTAGAGACAGCTTTCTTCATAAACAAAGGGCAAATGGCGATTGTAAAGAGATTTAAAGAACTTGCCAGCTTTTTGCCATGTCGCTGTCCATCCTGCTGTGTCTCTGGAGTGAATAATGCTGAGTCCTGTGCGCTCTGCGGCTCAGCTCGCTGACCGGCTCTCCCTCTGCAGTGGAAAGTGCGGAGGACCTTGGCCTTCTCCATCCACGAGCTCGCAGTCATCCTCGGAGACCAGCTGACCGCTGCAGATCTGGTTCCAATTTTTAATGGATTTCTAAAAGACCTCGATGAAGTCAGGATAGGTGTCCTTAAACACTTGCATGATTTTCTGAAGGTAAATTTTAAATTCTTTTATGTAGAAACATATAAAATTCCATTGTAAGCCTAATATCTCTATTTTTGGTGATAGCAGGGGGTCTTTGAGCTCTTTCATAAGGATGTAAACCAGCACACTAATGGTAAGGTATAGCTTCATAAAGAAAAACTGATCAGGTTAGCTTTGCTAATGTCATTTTACTTTAAAAACAATTATGCTCACATTTATTTTAAATGTTAGGCTGTGGAAATGAATATTTGTACCAAGATACATTAGAAATGTCCATGACCTTCAGCCACGTGTGGTGCTTTGGGGTTCTTGCCCCGCCCCCGCCCCCCCCAAGGACCCTGACCCTGACACACAGCTGGCGCCAGGGACACGCCTGGTGCTTACTCACCTTGGACTGACCACAGCTCTTCAGCTGAGCTACAGTTCTAGCATATTTGCAAGCATAGCTTTGAGTTATACAAGTAATCATAATTCTAAAGGTACAGTGTTCTATAGGGATTGCACTGAAATTGCTCTACGTGTCCTAGTGACTTCATTTGCGGAGGCCTTGGTATAGATGTAGTGTCTCTCCGAAGGTCGAGACCAGGCCTCTGTTCACCCAGCCTTCAGTTTTCCCAGGCCATGGGCCCTGGACGTGGCCACACTGGCTTGTTGGCAGGCTTGTCACCCATGTGGGCTGCCATGGGTCTCTCAAGAGATGACACGTGGGGATTTCCATCGTGAGCCAGAGGTCTGCCCTCGTGAGTGACAGGTACCTGTGTCCCTGGAGCCACTCACACACAGTTCTGGCCCTGCATGGCTCGCCCCACAGTGGTGGCTCCCACAGTCTCTTGAAAACTTCCGAACATTGGTTGTGGACTCCAGGCCTTCCTGTTCCTGTGAAGGTGGAAGTGACACCTGGGTCTGGGAACCATGGGAGCTATCTAGTGCGTCTGTCTGTCCGCCCTCACTCTACAGTGCATCTTTCCCCCACTGCCCAGCTGGAGGCAGCCCCAGTCCTCCTGAGGCACTGCTCTGTCCCCTGCATGTGCTGTGGCCTTCTCGGGAGGCAGGCACTAAGGGGTCACGATTCACTTTGGTTTGGTTTTACGTGGTTGGATTCCTCTCAACTGACACACAAAAATACAAGACCTGTTAGTGGGCTGTCATGAGCCGGGTCAGCACAGGCCACCTGGTGCATGTCTAGCTGCAGACCTCCCCAACCCATGGGCTTGGGTTCACCTGACAAGAGTGACTGCCAGCGCCTCCATTTGCTCTTCCTCACTTCATGTTTCTGCTTCCCCTCAGGAGGAAAGCTGTTCAAAGTAGCAGCAGTACGCTTAGTACCTTGTCGGGCTCCCACAGCCCCGGTCCCCTCATCCAGCCCTGTGTTGCTAAATGGTGGGCCAGGCTGCCTTCCTGCACGGCTGGGCTCATTCTGATGTGGGGCTGCCGTGAGGTTTCCTCCGGGAGATGGCACAGCTGCTCTCCATGCTCTCACAGCAGCTTCTCTACTCTGTGCATTGTCAGCCATGAGGTGCCTCACAGTGCCACCTGGGTCAGACTCGGGACAGGGAGCGTGCCTCACACAGGCTGTAGGGACAGCCCAGGGAGATGGTGACTCTTGGAGATCTTGGGGATTTGGAGGGAAATCAGGTGAGGAATACAAAAGCATTAAATATAGGGTCTGCTCTGCAGCCACCTAGGAAAGGAGTGACACGCCTGTTGTCCTGCTTAGTAAGGGTGCTTCTCTGTTGTTGCAGCTTCTTCATATTGACAAAAGGAGAGAGTACCTGTACCAGCTCCAGGAGTTCCTGGTGACTGACAACAGTAGGAACTGGCGCTTCCGGGCCGAGCTAGCGGAGTAAGTCTTGCGAGCGCCTGATGAGGAGGATGTCCCAAGATTGTTTGCCCTGAAGCTTTAGCACTAGTGGGCCCCCTCATCTGGTATCCCTCTTATCACCCGGTCCTGCCCTCGATCAGCTGTGAGTACAGCATTGGTTTCAGTGTGGGTCCTTCCGCTCAGCCCTTCACTGACCTGCGCTGCATGGGCATGCAGCTCACAGCCATCGGGGTAGCTGGGCTCTCCAGGAAGGGGGTCCAGGAGTACCCAGTGGCTTCCGCTGGCTGCCAGCCACTGTCAGTCTTTTAAAGGACCTCTTAGCACAGTGGTTAGTGGCAGAGAGAGGACTGACGTGGTCCTGTCCAGCCAGGCCACTGGCTAAAGCTTGAGCTGTGTCTCACCCAGCATACGCAGAGGTGACCCGAATGTCATGCCTCTTCAGCAAGGGCCTGGCCCCTGGGGAGCATTGTCATGGGCACTGCAAAGTCCTGGCTCCCCTGCACCCCGGCAGAGCATAGCAGGCTCTCCCACAGAGAACCCTCAGTGGGAGATGGCACGTCCCAGGGTGTCCCCAGCTGTGACTGGAAACTCGAGCATCTCCCAGCCTGTCCTGTGTCTTGGTGTTAAAAGCTGTATACCGTGCTTAAGAAGGGGCTTGTCTGGCCCAAGACTCTGGTTGCCATTCCCTGTGACTCAGGGCTGTAGAGAGGCAGAAAGAAACCAGCCTCTCACCAGCCCCTTCCCTCAGACCTTGCTTCCATCCATTGTCTCTGGGTGGTCCCCCCTTCTCAGGACAGTGACACTGGTGACGGTATCCAGCATATGGGCCTGGGGAGGTGCCATGTCCACACACAGCAAATAAATAGTCACCTAGCCACACCAGCCTGGAGGCTGCTTGGGGGGCTGAGGCTGGCCTGGGCAGCTTAGTGAGAACGACACAGAAAGGCCTCGGGCTATAGTTGAGGGCTCAAGCCGTGCCTAGCACATGTGCCCCCTGGGTTCAGTCCCTGACCTGGTGCCCTGGCCCAGCCCCTCGGGCCACAGAGGCCCACTTCACTGGCTCCTGGGTGCCTAGGCTCACACGGTGTTTTAGAGGCTGTCCGTGTGTACGTGGCTATGTGGCAGCCGAGTCTTCACTGTCCTCATAGACAGCTGATCCTGCTGCTGGAACTGTACAGCCCCAGAGACGTGTACGACTACCTGCGCCCCATTGCACTGAACCTGTGTGCAGACAAAGTGTCCTCCGTCCGCTGGATTTCCTACAAGCTGGTACGTTGTCACCGCATCTCCGAGTGTCCGATGGCACCTCGTGCAGGTCCTAAGCAGGTGCCCCTCCCGCCCTCTGCTCCCCGCAGGTCAGCGAGATGGTGAAGAAGCTACACGCGGCCTCCCCACTGACTTTCGGCACTGACCTCATCCGGGAGTTGGTGGACAACTTCGGCAGGTGCCCGCGCTGGTCCGGCCGCCAGGCCTTCGTCTTCGTGTGCCAGGTGAGGCCACCTCTGCCCTGGCCGAGCACACCCTGTCCTGTGCCCATTTCCACAGGGCGCACGGTGGCCCCCCTTTCTGCCCTGTGTATTCCTAAATGACACGAGCTGGCCTTGCCTGTGGGGAGGTGGGCGTGGCCGGGATCCATGTGCCGTGCATGCTGGCGTGTTGAGTCAGGGCAAGCACATCTGTCCCTGAAGATCCAGCAAGTCTCGACCCACGGCTGTTACCTGCTTACTAGGTACGCCAGCACACATTCACCTGTCAGGCTACACATCATACACATCAGCCACCATTCCCCCTCTCAGCAGGGGCACTTTTGTTCAAGTCTCCAAGTGCCTAGAAGACTGGTTATCAAGTTGTCCCCACACTTGAAACCCCAAACCCTCTGAAGGTGTGCTGGCCTTGGGCTGACCCCCTCGGCTCTCTCCATTAGACAGTCATCGAGGACGACTGCCTGCCCATGGACCAGTTCGCTGTGCACCTCATGCCACACTTGCTCACCTTGGCCAATGACAGGGTTCCAAACGTCAGAGTGCTGCTGGCCAAGACGCTGAGGCAGACGCTGCTGGAGAAAGGTGGGCAGTGCGGAGCGGGAGAGCCTCTTGCGGCAGCCGGCCTGGGCCGGAGCAGGGCTGGGCCTGCTCCCACCGCGTCCTCCAAGGACCGCGCTGCGTGCCACCATGTCGGCACACGATAGCTTCTGCAGTCGTGGCACCAGACTGTGTGTGCTGTGGCCCCACAGCCTTTCATGTGTTCATGGCAGCTGATGCACGAGCTGGGGTGGTGGTGCGCACAGCAGTGACAAAATTCAGACAGCAGGTGAGGGCCACTGCTGTTCTCCCGCTGTGCCTGGGGTTTCTAGAGGGATAAAGTGAGGGGACAGGGAGGCCGGTCTGGCTTAGGCAGAGAGCACATGGCGCCATTGCCAATACTGCCGCCGCCGGGAGACGGGTTTCCCTCTGCCAGGCCCGCTGGTGTGAGACTCATTGTTTCCGTCCCCTGATGGGAGCGCTGTTCCTCATGCCCCCTTAGTGTCCTGGGACTTCACATAGTATGGACTATGGACAAGCCATAGAAACCCTAGCACGTCACTGAGTGCCACCGTGTCACTGGCCATGTCATGTGTCTCTGTGACAAGCACTCTGCATGCCCACCCTGACCCAAGCCCTGTCATGTCGTTGCCAGAGTACTTCCTTACCTCTGCCAGCTGCCACCAGGAGGCCGTGGAGCAGACCATCATGGCGTTGCAGATGGACCGAGACAGTGACGTCAAGTACTTCGCCAGCTTCCACCCCGCCAGCACCAAAGTCTCTGAAGACGCCATGAGCACAGCCTCCTCGACCTACTAAGCAGCGGCCTCAGGCGTGTGCTGGGGGGGCAGGGTGCGGGCTGCTGGGGCTCGGCCTCCCCCCCCCCCCCACGGTCGCGGTCAGGAGTGAGTAGACGCTGTCTCACCCTGCCTGAAGGGAACAGCATTTCTCAGCGGATTCTTCTGTCACCAAAGCCTTAACTCGCCTGTCTTCCTGATGGACACGTGACGGGCGGAACGGTTTCCTCCCAGCGGGGTGATCCCCGAGACCTGAGGCGCTCCCCAGGTTCCTATACCAGCCGACGAATGAATTCTTGCAGCCAGAGTGACGCACACTGGACACGGGAACAACAGCAGTGTTGGCCCTGCCCGGCACCTGCAGGCCGGTCCAGATGCGGAAGGGAGTGGCAGGTTTCTCCAGAAAGCCTGATGCCAACACTAAAGCAGATCAGATCTTAACTCGGGAATGCAGCATATTGCTGTGCACTTGTGCAGACTGTTTGCTCAGTGTCTCTGTCCTGGTTTTCTCATGCTGGTCATGACCGGAAGGAAAGTCCTCAGCGTGGCTGTCGGGGTTTTGGACTGGATCATGGTCTGCTCCGAGTGCGACTTCCTCCACACGCTGGGCGTCTGTGCAGCCGCCCGGGGTGCTGTGGTCCTCAATCATGCTGTCAGAATGGCCGTGGAACAAGTTCTCTTGTCCAAATAAAATTTATTAACGACATCTAGAAAGAGATGCACACTTGTTTTCTAGGTGTCTGTGAATAAACATGACGTGACCTGTCACTGTGTCTCATAGAAAGCAGGGAAGGCAGACTGCAGTGTCTTCCACCTGGTGCGGCCTTTCCTGGAATCGCTGTGTCCCAGGTCAGGGCCTCGGGGGGCACCCCTTGCTCCCCAAAGCCAACGGCCTCTGCTGTGGGGTCTTCGTCTGCAGAGCAGCCATTAGTGAGCAGTGGGTGAGAGGGCCCCACTCTGTGCATGCCCAGGGAGTTGGGAAAGATGCAAACCACGGCTTGTGTGGCTGATGCCTGCGTCCCAGGACACACAGAGGCCACCTTGAGTCAGCAGGCAGAGCTGCAGTGCCTGGGGACCTCAGATTTCCCCACAAGCTGCTACTGTGAGACATCTGCCTGCGGGCATTGGTCCTGAGGAGGGCACTGGAGCCCTGCCCTGCACTTGGGACAATGGTGGCAGTGACCACTGAGGGGCAGGTCCTTGAGTGGCTTCCTGCTGTCTCCAGTGCCCGCTGCTTGAGCAGCTGCACACGTCTCACACAACACTAGGAGGGAGGTACATGGCAGCAAAGCTGTTCCAGCCACGCAGTGTGGGTAACCTGGGGACCCCGTCGTGGGCTGTGTTGCATGGAGTCGCTAAGAGAGAAACCAGACTTCAGAGCGGGTTACTCCCAGAGAGACCACAACAGCATGCAGGGCTCCACATACGGCAGGCCCAGTGCTGGGAGGCACAGGACTGGAGAGTGCTAAGAATGGGGCAGCCCTGGGGGCTGGGGATCTAGCTCAGCGGCATAAGCGCCTACCTTGCAAGCAGGCAGTCGTGAGTTTGATCTTTGGTACCGATAAAAAAGGAAAAAAAAAAAAAAAAAAAAGAATGGAGCAGCCTTGTCAGCCAATCCACTGTGCATGGTCACCTCTGACCCCCGCCTTACCCTCGAAAGGGACATGATGCCCCAGACAGGCCTAACCAGTCCCAGGTCCGGGTGCTCCCCCCGTCAGTGCCCTGCAGCTTGTGACTCAGGCATCACTTCCTGCATCTCATGGCTGTCCTGACAGATGGCTGGCTCGGAGGAGCCACCGTTGTGCATGTGACTTTTGTCCGAAGGCCTGCGGCTATCAGGATGGGCGCCTACCTGCATCTTCCCGGAACCGTCCAATGCCACACAGCAGCCTGCTGCGTCACCCTGTAGTAGTGGGGCCCCAGGCAGTAGTGTACCAGCCAGGCTGGAGTGGACACCTGCAGGAAGGGCAAGACAGTGCCAGCCCAAGGCCCTGGGTCCCGTGCGGTCCCCTGGGGTGTTCCTGAGCCAGGAGCAAGGCTCCCCACACACAGCTGAGCAGGGGCCCCGGGGTGCATGCTGGCTCAAGCCAAAGAACCTGGATCTGGAAGAAAGGGCAAAGTAAGACTGTGGCTTTTTAGTTCTCCCTGAACCCCGCTCAAGGCAGGAGCCAGCAGGGCTGTCCCTCATGCAGGGTGGGGTCCCAGGAGGTGGCCCATCGGACCAGCAACTCTGTGACCTCAGAACCAGCTTAACAGATGGGCTTTGGCCCTGGGACACTAACAAGTCTGGTGGGGACTGAGTTTTGTAAAAGGCAGGCATGTTCTACAGTGATCATCCTTAAGCCACGAGAAGGTGGTTTGAATTCTGTCCTGCAGAAATTCTCTTCCTTAAGAAGCCTCAGGGCTGGAGTGCCACCTGCCATGTGTGGGCCCAAGTTCCATCCCCTGTGCCGAGACAGAACGCCACGCTACTTTGGCCATTGGGCTTCCGGCTCTGTGTATGTTTAGAGCACTGGCGGGCTTCTGCCCAGCATGCCTTTAGGTCACATTTTGCTCACTTAAATTTAACAATACTCCTATGTGCAGGATTCCATCAGGAATTTTACCACAGGAGTGTTTCATCCCCTTAGTGCATCGGTAACCGTTACTGGCCAGACACAGGGAAGTGGTGACTCAACCAAGATCACTAAATAAAGAGTAAAGTGTTCTCAGCACAGAGAGCACCAGGGAAGCTGACCCACCCTGAGAGCCGTGATTCCAGGCTCAGCGACACAGCTCTGCAGGACTCAATGCTAACAGGGAAAAGCAGCCAGCCGTCTAGTGATAGACACTGCAATTTCTCAAGAAGCCAACAGAAAAGTCACTGTCACTCCAGATCAGCCAGTCCCAGAGACGCTCATCCAGGGCCGCATTGCCCTGAACTGTACACCCAGGGTCACCTTGAGCCACCGCTGTCCTGGTGCATGGGCCATGGCAGAGGCCAGAGAGCTGCTGAGGAGGGGGGGGGCAGGAAGGGCGGAGTCTGAAATCCTGGAGACTGAGAGGATGTGAGGGGAAACCTACATCAACTCTCCCGGCCACAGGGCACTCACACTCCAGAGACAACGCATACAAAAATACCCGGGTGTTTTTTTTTTTTTTTTTTTTCCCAAATGGCTGTTGAATTTATTTGATCAATAATGGTTCTGGCAAAAAACTAGTTAACCAATCAGACATTTGTAATGAAATACTAATTTAAAAAACCCATAACACCTTGATAGAAATTAAGGGTTTACACAAACAGAAAAGGAAACGTCAATATCCCAACGAATATAAAATGAATAAAATATGTCTGACAGGACAGCAAGGCATTTATGCATTTATATTTGACACCTGACCATATTTCCAGTCACCATAATATCTTCTCTCCAGATTTAAAAAAATAGTATGCTGATTTCTATAACAAAGCTTTTTTTCCGTACAAAAATCAAATAATGGCCAACAAGTCACAACAGTGCAATAGGTAGGATAAAAAACTGCATCAAACAGGTGCTGAAAATAAATACTAACTAGGAAGAGGAGAAAGAGGAGCAGGAGGCAGGGAAGGAGGAAGAGGAGGAGGAAAAGCAGGAGGAGAAAGAGGATGGAAGAGGAAGAGCCCTGGCGCCAGTCCACCTGCACCCACGGAGCCGCCCAACCCAACTGCCTGAGCCCCGGGCTGTGGCCTCAAAGTGGAGCAGTGAGGGGCGAGACAGGCCGCAGCAAGGAAGCCACTTTCCCACTGCTCCATCCGGCCCCTCGGGGGTCCCTCAGGACTGAGGACAGGAACAGCAGAGCCTGGCCCGGTTGCTCCCAGAGACAAGAGCCTTCCGGCCCCCTTTGGCACCTGGAGGAGCCCTGTACCTGAGGGGCTGCTGGGGAAAGGGCTGGGGCTGGAGACGCATCTCTGTGGCACCTTGGGGCGCCTGGCCACCTGCGGCCTCTGGCAGTGAGCGGCCAGCAGGTGGGCCCAAAGGACAGCATGACGGGGCTGAGGCCACAGCAAGGCCGGCCGGCAGGAGAGGAACGGCGCCCTCACCGCGTCGTCTGCACCGAGAAGGTGTGGAAGGCACAAGCGAGAGTGACCAGGTCTGCAGGGGCCCGGCGGGCGGCGGGCATCCCAGTGGGCTAGGCCAGGGCCTGGTTTGGTGGGTGTGTGTGTGTGTGTGTGTGTGTGTGTGTGTGTGTCCCCCGCCGTGGATGAGAAAGAGATCCTGATTCTGCTGTGATAAAAAAGCAAAGAAAGACAATTTTTGGTTTATAAAGAAGCCACTCAGGGTTAAAATCGTTACTTTAACGAAGAAAAGCAATCCCAATGTGCTGACACTATCTGAAGAGCATCCGTGTGGCCCCAGGCCTGCGCCACCTCTGCCCTGAGTCTGACCGGGAGCTCCGCAGGCCAGGCCAGGCGCCTGGCTCAGATGGGTGTCTCCTTCCGGTCCCTGCCAGGCGACGGCTTGGCCTCGGCAGTGCCCACCCACTGCTCGGGCTCCTCATCCTCCAGCGCAGGCTCGGCTGGGGCCTGGGCGCGCTGCATCTGCAGCAGGCGGAGCTGCACCCGCAGCTCGATGATGGCCTCTCGCTCCTCGTGGATGGCTTGGTTCAGGTGAGTGTTCTTGATCTGGAGAGGGGACAGGGACATGAGGGCCCCGCCCTCAGGCTGCCTCCGCACCACCCCCAAGGGCCCCAGCCCTGGCCCTTTATGCGGTGTAGAGGGTCCCAGCCGGGTAGCACTGGGTCCCCCCAAGCTCTGCTGTCCCTGCTGAGCTCAGAGGTCACGCAAAGGCCACTCCAGTGGGCGACACTGCCTTCAGCTGGGGGAGAAAAGTCTTGTGCCGAAGTCCCCCTTGGACGGCTGCCACACCCACCTCCAGCTCCTCGTTCTGGCGCTGCAGGTCCTCCAGAATGAGCTGCAGCTCCTCCTCGTCCTCACTTTCACTCTCACTCTCCGACGAGTACTCCTCCGTCTCGCTGCGGCCGTGCTGCTGGCGGCTAAGCACAGAGGAGACGCTGTTCGGAGCCCTCCCCAGCTGCCACCCTCCGGCATACGTGCTGCCCACAGCCCAGGTGTGTGTGCTGAGCCCCGCGTCCCCTCCTGCTGCACATTCTGAGGACCTGATAAACATGATACTAAAGCCCATTCATTTCATTGGTCTAACTCTCTTCCAAAGAAGTCTGAGAGCTGGAACTGTGTGTGCGCAAGGGGAAGGTCTCAAGTTAGGAAGCTGCCCAGGCTGGCCTTTACCCTGCAACCCTCCTGCCTTGGCCTCCTGGAGTGTGTGCCATACCTGTCACACTTAGTGAACCCGTTCTGGAAACCTGAACAGCCCAGGCTCCCCGTACCTCTGGATCTCGGCAATCTCAGCCCGCAGGCGCTCGATCTCCTCCTTCTCAGCTGCGATCTGCCGCCGTAAGAACTGCTCCATGGCCAGCAGCTCCTCCTGCTCGGTGAGGATCTCATTCTCCTGAAACAAGGGGAAAGGGAGGGGGGCTGTGGACCCTGCTGCCTGCGAGCTCACACCAGGGCCCAGGCAGGGCCCGGGGACAAACCGCAGATGCTGCCCAGCCTCTCAGGAAGAGCAGTCCCCAAGCCATGGTGGCCTTCCCTCCACCGTATCACCAGGAACCTCGGGTCCAGGGGACATGTGCCCAATGTCAGCATCCTGGATAAGGCAGATGAGGGAAGGAAAGACAGTGCAGAAACCACTGCTGCCCACCAAGGGCCACCGTTCACAGCCTGTCCCTGAGATAAGAGAGATAGGGCACATCTTGTGTAACAGAAGACCCCCATCTACAGCTGGCCCAGCCACAGGGGTAGGGGTCAAAAGCAAGGTGAAAATCCACACGTCCAGGACCCCACCCTGCACAGGGGGAACCAAGGCAGCTGCAACGCAGGGAGTAGCAAACGCGGAGCACAGGGGCTCAGGCAGGCTGACCCTCTGCTGGACAGAGCCTCAGACCCTACAGGCCTCAGGAGACTCCCGTCTCTGGGACTCCACTCCTCACCAGGCAAGCCCAGGGAGCGTCCAGCCCATAGCAGGGCAGACTCCAGACACTCCGGAAGAAACACGAAGCTCACATCCCGCCCATGCCTGGAACTCGGGGTTCCCAGGACGCTACAGTGTGCTGTGAGGCAACCCGTCTCCCACAACTACTTCCCTGCTAAGAACGAAGCCTGCACACAGCTTCACAGCAGCTCCGTCCTGGCTTGCATCCCACATGACAGGAGCCCTGAGCTAAGGGGCATTGGGCTCAGGGATTATACAGATCCTTACTGAAGTCCAGACTCACGAACGAGAACAAAGCTGCTTGGCTAGGCGCCGAGGTGGGTGGCGAGGCGGGGGCACCGCAAGGAACAGAGCACCAGCATCGGCAGATTCTGCAGCCGAGCCTTTCCAGCAGTCACTTTTAAATGGTTAAAAGGCTTGTGAAAGAGAAGAGGATGTGGCTTACCTGGGCGAGTAGAATATTGATGACCTCCTCGTTTTCATTCGTCTCTTCTTTGGAGACATCCTCTTTTGACAGGCTAGCGATCTCCTGGGCAATCTTGGTCTCACACTCCTGTGCAGCGAGACAGGGACAAGGGTGGGCGGGTGGCCCATGGGTCACAGCTCACCTCTCGCTCCACGAGTTGGCCTCTTGTTTCCCAGCACTGGGCAGAAGTGCGAAGCCCTGGTGAGCTGCCTGGACTCGGTCTGTGCTGCCCACCACCTCTGGGGTCTTAGGGCCATCCTGTGCCACCAGAGGGTTGCTCTGAGGCTACGACTCAGTCTTGACAGCTGTGCAGTGATCTGGGCAACACCATGCTATGGAACATTCCGTCACCAGAGGCCCTGGGTCCCCACCATTTACTTCTTACCCATCACAACTGGTTTTCCTGCAATTTTTTTGCTGTTGTTGAGAGTTGGGTTTTTTTTGGTCTTTTTAAGACATGGTCTTGCTATGTGGTTCAGCCTGGCCTTGAGCTCACTTTGCATCCCAGGCTGGTCTTGAACTTGCAACAATCCTCCTACCTCAGCTTCCCAAGTGCTGGCTGGGACACGATCTTGCTATGTACTTCAGCTGGCCTTGAACTCACTATGAAACCCAGGCTGGTCTTGAACTCCTAGTGATCCTTCCTGCCTCAGCCTCCTGAGTACCAGCAGGCCTGGCTCCTGAGGTTCACAGAAACTGAATCACTCATCACGGAGACTTTGAACCTGGCCTCTTCACTGAGCCTGAGGTGGACAGTGCTCCATGCTTTGCATGTCACCAGCTGCTGAGTAACATGCTGGACCAGAGGTCACGTGGCCAGAGCAGGGCCCCACCCCGTGCAGCACGGAGGGCCAGAAGGCTCCAGCACAAGCACTGATGCGGCTGCTGTTGCGCACTACACAGCTTCAGGACCACACCCAAGAGTGGCACTGCTTACAGAACATGCCACACCGACTCTCGCTTTCAGCCTAATTTGTTACTTTAAAAGCCATGTACCCGGAAGCAGGGTATGGTGGTGTATGCCTTGACCCCAGCACTGTGGAGGCTGAGGCAAGAGGATTACTGAACGCTTGAGGCCAGCCTGAGTTACATACCAAAACCCTGTCTCAAAAAAAAAAAGCCATACACTCCTCCAAGATGAAAAGCCCCAGGGCGAAATGTGGGCATGGCTCAGCACGCACTAAACCACGGTGGAGGAGAGCGCAAGAATCAAAGAACCAGAAACCTGGTGAAGAAGCCATGGAGCCCTTCTCAAAGGGCTGGCTGCCACCCACGGATAACTCTGTCCCAACAGACCAAGCAGCAAGAGGTGTGGGAGCCCAGGTCCTGCCTGGGCCCTGCTTGCCTGCTCCCCACCACTGATGGTACCTGAAGTGTTGGGCAACCCCGACAGCGAGAATCCCAGTTCGCAGCCCACCCCACAATGCGCGCCACACACAGCTGGTAGGACACGGGGGCTGAGCCTGCCTGCCCTGACTGACCCTGGGCCTCACGCATCCTCGGCTTGTGGGGCAGAGGGGTGACCAAGCAGGAAATACACAGACCCATGCCAGTTAAATCATCTTGTTTTAATTAAATAGAATCTTCCTAAGTTAGTGAAGCACTGGACACGGGTGGATTTGCTTCCCATCAGAGAACTTCACTGCAGTGGACTCGCACACACACTCCTGAAGAAGTCACCGACAGCAGTGTGCACAAGACCCAGCACAGGCCTGGGCACCCTGCAGTGGCACAAGGGCCTACCTGGCAAGCACAAGGACCTCAGTCTGATTTTTTTTTTTTTTTTTTTGGCTTTTTCGTTTTTATCAGTACCAGGGATCGAACTCACAACTGCCTGCTTGCAAGGCAGGCGCTTATGCCGCTGAGCTAAATCCCCAGCCCCTGATTTCTGGTACCACAAAAAAGACCCAGCACATCCTTTCTATATCGTCTTAAAATATGATCTATGGAAATGACAGATGAACTCACCTGTCTTTTAGCTTCTCTCAGTTTCCTTTTGAGGGCTGTAAGGATTCTCTGCACTTCCCATAATCTTTCTTCTTTAGATAAATCCTTCACCCCACCCTGCAGATCTCGATGTAAACAATTCAAAAGAAACTCCTAGAAAACAAGAGCGGCCCTGTTGGCTCCTGCCTCACGCGCCCTCCACAGGTGGAAGCAACCACTTTCCCAGGTCTGACAGGAATGGGCCTCTGCAGCCACCATGGAGCAAGTGCCCCCATCAGCCCAGCTTCCCTGGCAGCACAACCGCCCACAGAGCCCCGGCTGAGGCTGAGATGCTCAGGAGCTCCGAGCGGGGTATACGACAGGCGGGGAGGTCGGGAGGCAGCAGCAGTGATCCAGTGCACTTGCACTGCTTTCTAAACTGTGAATTTCTTATCTGACCTGACACACAGAAAGGTTTCTTCTGTCAGAGTCGCAGCAGTAAACATGGCTGCTCTTGGTTCTAGCCTGGGAATCGAGATGGTTATTACTTACCAAACTTCAGCCTCCTCATGTGTAAAACATGGCCAAGGAAGCAACCTGCTCTAGATGCACAAATGTCATCATGAGCCTGGCCAAGCTGAGCCCTCCTCACATTGCCTCATTTGGGAAATGGTCACCCCAAACCCATGACAGCGTGCTTTTCACAAGCAGCACATCATCAGCTGGCTTGGGGCACTCTGGAGGTCGAGGCAGGACTGCTGTGAGCTGGAGGCCAGCCTGGGCTACACAGTGAGCTCACCACCATCCTGAACTACATGGCAACAGCCTGTCCCCTTCCAAAACAAAACAACAAAAACACCAAGGCTGAAAGCATTCTGCTACTGGCCTAGAGCCAGGGCGCTCCACAGAGAACTTCCAGTGGTGCTCTGATCTAAAAGCTTGTGCCCTCTGCCCACAATGCCCTGACGTCCGTGGCGGGCACAGTGTCCCCATATGGTGGCACTCAGGGGACAGAGCTCATCATCCTGTCCCCAGAGAGTCCACCATGGGCAGGCACAGGGCACACCTGTCTCCGAATCTCCTCCTTGATGCCAGCCTGGGTCTCAGGCAGCGTGGGCATCGTGGCCATGTTGGACCACCGCAGGGGTCTCGTCACCGGCTTGAGCACCACGCTCCCAAAGAGCTCCTTCACGTGCGTGAAAAGAACATACAGAACACGATTGCTGATCTGCAGGAAAAGAAAAAGATTTGCAAGAGAACAAAATTATTTCACTCACGTGCATCACACAGCACAAGCCTGTGCCCTGGGACACCTGAACCGGAGCTCCCAGGAGAGACAACACAGGTAACTTGAGCTGATGGCACATGGCCTGCCCAGCTGAGGTATGGCTCTGCGAAACCTGGGACTGGACCAGTGAGGTTACTGTGGGCCATCAGGTCAGCTCTCCTTTCTGTCCTGCAGGGTCACTGACTAAGCATACTCAGTCCTCCTCCCCGGAGACTGCAGGAGGGCAGGTGCAAGGCTGCAGAGGCAAAGCCACCTGGGAACCACGGAGCCTGTTCACAACACCCAGGGCCTCCGGTGGTACTGCCCCCAGGTGATGGCAACACCCGCCAGGCCCTGGCAACCAGATTACGATCATTCTAGTTTGAGAAACTGGAATTAAATTACATTATAAAATGTAATTATAAAATGTCATCAACACAACAAAACACTCTTCAAAGAAAACACTCCTGTAACAGTGGCAATGACTTATGCCAAAAAGGAGTTAAAACTCAAAGTAACTATTAGGTCCTGTTTTTCTTGTTCAGCCTATGGCATTAGTAACTGCATCACCTGAGCAGCAGCAAAGGAGGCTGAGGTCAGCAGCACTGACCCCCACAAGCCTGGCTCTCAGGGCAGTCTTGCACTGAGCTACACCCCAGCCTTCTTTTTTTGTTGTTGCTGTTGAGACATGGCTCGCTAAATCACCCAGGCTGGGCTCTAATTTGTGATCTTCCTGCCTCAGCTTCCCGGGGTACTAGGATTACAGGCATATACTGCTATACACAGTTCTAAGATCTGCCTTTACAAATGAAACCCTTAATTCTTGGCCAAATTAATGTAGATCCCTTTCCACTGAGTTTGACCTGTCTGTGATATACCTGAGCAACGATCCCACTTGATGAAATAACCGGATCCTTTAAAACTGCAGAGCTGAGTGCCAACCCGCAGGCACCCTGAGTTCTTCAGCTACTCACACTGTCACCCAGAGCGGGTTTCTAAACTCACCACTGGAATTCCCCAGCTATACACAAAGAGTCAAATGTGCTCCTTTATCTAAATGTCCAGACCATCCACCTAAGGAAGGAAAGGCCCTGCGGTTCAGGTGTCTCCCGAATACCCTCAGGGCTCTCTGTCATGGGGCACTTAACAAATAAGGGCCGTTGTACCTCAGTAGCACTGGGCTCACCAAGCAACGCGCACAGCCCTGGTTCGAACCCCAGCACCACCAAAACCAGAAACAAAATATCAGAAAACACCCTGGTCTCCCAGCAGTGCCGGGCTTGCAGAAGGCAATACCTGCACGGTGGGGCTGAGCACGATGGAGATGTTCTGCACGTTCATCTTGGTCTCCAGCTCCTGCGCAATCACGTGGTCCATGTGCACGACCAGCCAGGAGAGGAGCAGGCTGTTACAGCTGGGCAGCTCCCTGAGCAGGCGCTGGAACTCCTGCACCTTCTCGCTCTCTGTGGCCCTCACACATGCCTCCTCAAAGCGTGGCAGCAGCTCTTTGGTAAGCAGGTTCTCGGGGAGGTCGCGCAGGTACTGCTTCAGCAGGCTGGCCACGGTGTTCGGCTCATAGTCCTCCAGGTTGGGAGACTCCTCTCGGTCATAGGCTGCCTTCAGCTCATCCACCTTCGATTTAATTCCTTCAGACATTCGCATGCGGGAGAGAAGACGCGATGAGAGGGCAGTGCAGGCGACCACAGCACTGGCCCCTCCTGAGAGATGGGGACCAGCAGGCCCATGCTCATCCTCCGTCGCAGAGACCCGAGGCAGGGCGCGCCTCCAGAGGGCAGCCCAGGACCTCAGTGCCCACAGAGTCAGGAGAACAGGGCGTCTGGAGGTGTGTGCAGCTATGCAGAAATCTAGGGGAACCCAAACTCAGCCAACTGCGCTTTCTAACTTGTCACAAGGCTGATGACACAAAATGTACCCTGGCTCATACTGAGCACCTCCCAAAAGTTGTAGGTGAATTAACTTTAAAGTAAAATCTGCAAACACAAGGGTGAGTTACCTCTCAGAATGAATTCTTTGTGAACGTGTTACTCATCATTCCACAGTACTCATCTAATTTCAATTTACTTCAGTTTGAATTTTTAAAGTGTTTTCTTAATCCAAACAGCTGGAACAAAAAAATTACTAACATTTGGGCTTCTAAAATCAAACTGTTTGGCTTTTCCCACTGGACACAAAGGAACTCGCGCCACTCTCCAGCACTGCACTGGGGTTCTTCTCCACCTCCACCGCGTGGAGCAGCTCTGCACTGTGTCCCTGATGTCAGGCCGCAGAGCAGGGCCAGTACCCCCGAGCAGCCACTGTCCTCTGACCTGAACGGCGCTTATGATCAGCGCAGAGCCCTGCTCAGCCCGGCCTTCCATGTCACACACAAAGCCTCTCCACGTGTTACCATGAAATCTATCATTTACCCAGCACTGACAGAATAAAGCCAAGTGGCCCCAAACCAAGTGGCTGCAAAAATAACAGTAGTAATCTTTACGCAAAATCTGTGGGACAGCAAAGTTAGAAAATTAATATCCATTTTTTATAAAAATGAATAAAACAAGATGAGTAATAACTAGCTGAAATTCTGGGCAAAGATCTCTGTCAGACAGAATCATAGCATCTCACATATACAATGTACTTGTTTGTGTTAAACACATTTACTTTTCAACCCACAGTACCTATACAGCAAATTAGATTCTGTTCAGACAATTTGACTGTTTTGTTTAGGGTTACTCTGGATGTATTATCAAAGTGTTTTTCCTTTAAAAGCTTGATATTTAAAGAATTTCAGGGAGGGAGGGCAGGAGGGACAGTATCAGATACATTTTAGTGAAAAAATACGAAAATGTAGACCAGTAAATTAAAAAATAAAACTGTCTTTTGCACTGGGGTTTAAACTTTCTGGCAGGCACCAGTACTACTGTTTATAAGGCAAAAGTCCCCGCCCAAGCCAGCTCTGGCTTCGGGCATCACTCACCACTGGTGCCAGGCCGCGCAGGTCCAGGGTCCAGACCCCAGTCCCCAGCCAGGAGCCCGTGGGCCACCTCTCCAGAGGACGGTGCACATCAGAAACCGGTTAGAGACAGAGAAGGACTCTGAGCTGCACCATGGACGCTTTTGGGAAAACTGCCTGACACAAAGTTTCCTCCTGGTCATCGGGATTGGTTGGGGGCATGGCTTGTACCATTACCGTTTAAATATTTTAAAAACCAGCTCATCATAAAACACTCTTTTTTTTTTTTGGTCTTTTTCGTTTTTATCGGTACCGGGGATCGAACTCACGACTGGCTGCTTGCAAGGCAGGCACTTATGCCGCTGAGCTAAATCCCCAGCCCCCATAAAACACTCTTAAAAATCAAATACGCACACTTGTTTAAAGTGCATTAGTGCTACATGCTACCAAGGAACGATGCATCCCAATTCCTTGCCTAAGAAACTGCATTTCCTCCAGAACTGTAACCAGCGCAGCCAAGACGCTCTTCCTTGACAGCCCGTTATCCCGGAGCGCACGGCAGTTTCCTCAAGCATCAAAACAGCCGCGCCTTCTCGGCCTGCTGAGTGCGGGAACCGAGTGCGAGGAAGACCAGCTCATCTGTCCGTCCTCCGAGTGCAGACCCAGCACACGCTGACCGTACGGGAGACCCTCGAGTCCCTGCAGAGCCCCAGCTCTCAGTGTGCTGTGTGTGGGGGACCCAGACTGCACTGGGGATACTGGGGACACGAGGCTCCGAGGAAGGAAGAGGACGCCGCGCGTCCGTACCTGAGACCCTGTAGATGCCCTCGCACCTCATGCCATGCCTCTCCACGTAGTCCACGCACTCTCGGAAGACGGCCGGCAGCTGGACGCCGTCGTACATCATGGTCCTGTCCACCGCATCGGCCAGGGGGATCCCGAAGATGGGCCTGAAGCTGGGCGCATCGACCAGAGGCCCCTCCGGCTCCTGAATCGGCTTCTTCTTTTTCTTCTTTTCCTTCCACTGCTTCACGACATCAGCTGCCGTCAAGTCCTTGGACTTCTTCTCTTTATGTTTTTCCTCTTTGTGCTTTTCTTCTTTATGCTTTTCTTCTTTGGGTTTTTCCTTTATTTTAAAATCCTTGTCCTTCTTTTTAGAGAAGCTGGGCTTCTTGAAGACATGGATGCCCTTGGACCGCTTCATCTTGGACGGGCTCTCAGCCTCGTCTCCAGAGCTGTCCTCCTGGAAGGCAGCATAGCCTTCAGCTGCCAAAGCAACGCAAGGACACACGTTAAGACAGCGGCTTACTGTCAGACTGTCCCTGTGCTTGCTAAGAGGCCACAGAACAGGGCCCCGCTTCAGCTCCCCTGCGCACCCTGCAAGAGGTGAACCTTTCAGCTGAAGCAGACTGCGTTGGCAATGGCGGACCACAAGAGGGACATATGCCCTGGCACGGACACCAGGTGGGGAGCCTGGGCCGTGTTGCAAGATATGTGTGCGTGAGCCAAATATCAGTGCGTGTGCCAGGCTCTACACACCAACAGGGCGCAACCCCACATAGGCACACACAACAAAATGTACATGTGTACACACTCAGACCTATGACATTGTTCAGAGAAGCAGACTCATCACAGTTGAGAACTGCAACCCGGGACAGGGACATAGCTCAGCAGCACAGTGCCTGCCTGCTAAAGACAAGGTCCTGAGTTTGATTTTCAGTACGAAAAAAAAAAGCCTGAAAATAATTCAAACAACCACCAAAAGCAGAGTGGATAAGTTCTATATTGGAGCAGGGAAACAATACACAGAGAAAAATGAACAATTACTATCAAATGGAATGTGAGTGAAATTAACAAATGTCATACCAGGCTAAAGAAACTGGGCACAAGAGAAAGGACACCCCCGTCCTGCAATAGGGCAACATGGCCAGGGTACAGGTGCATGCACGCTGGGCCCCTTCCCAAGTACAGCAAGGGGAGTGGCAGTGCTCACAAATGCTGTCAGGGTTGTGCTGTGGTCCCACAGGCCACTCAGCCAATCAAGTGGTAGCTCATTCGTGCATAAATTAAAAGCATCATGAAATCCAAAATACTTAAATCACCATCTCTACTACACTAAAGATCTCTCTTAAGACAACTCCCTCCGCAGTGCCCAAGAGCCCAGATGAAGGTATCCTGGTAGCTGCCTATAACCAATGCACAACTACTTCTTCATGACACCAACAGAAGCACACCCCAAACCCACCTAGGAAAGTAAGACCATCAGGGCAGAATTTCAGTATCTACTTTTCATACGTTATTTTGAATGATCCCTTCAAAAAATATCCACTGAGGGGCTGGGGATTTAGCTCAGCGGCATAAGCACCTGCCTTGCAAGCAGGCAGTCGTGAGTTTGATCCCCGGTACCGATAAAAAGGAAAAAGACACAAAAAAAATATTCACTGGAATTTTTATTTGTGAGATTAAGACCCTGAACTATAATTCCAGTATCAAAAACTAAGACTGAAAAATAAAGAAACAGAAGAGACCAAACCAGTTTCTGACTGGACACATTTCCAGAATAGTTAACCTAGTCTGAGGAAGTTTAACTAAAATATCTCAAAAGCATGGAGAAAAACCGCACTTACTCCTTTTTTCCTTCTTCTTGAACTTCCCTTTCTTCTTCCCATGGTCCTTCTCATCGTCAGACACTATATCCGGGGGCTCGTGCAAGATGTCATGGGGTGGCGAGGGTTCGCCCGTGCGGTACAGGCCGGGGAACTTGGTGGGGCTGATCTCCTCCGAGCTGGGCGTCCGTGTCAGCGTGCTGCCATGCTCGGCCCTGCGGTGCTCCCCAGGGCTGCTGGTGGGAGGCAGGAAGCACTCGGTCATGCTGGCGCCCTGACCGTAAAGGTTGTGGCCTCCGTGTCACCTGTCCATCACACACACCTGTGCAGAGAAAATGTCCACGGTCACCAACCCCGCTGCAGAAGCAGCAACTGCCCATATTTAGAGGCCAAACTGTTCTCCCTACAGCCCTCTGGAAACGCCCTTCAGCGCTAGCTCGATTCTGTCCCAGGCATCACTGGTGCCCAGCTGAGGGGAGGTGAAGGCACTATAATCATTAGGTGTTAGAAAAGTGACCCGAACAGAAATCTGCACGATGGCACTTACAGAACACAGAGTTCTTTCAGAAAGAACTCACCAATGCAGAGGGTTTCATCTGCTTGCCAAATGACATCAAATCTTATGACGTTTATGTTGTGAACAAACAACCACACATAATAAATAAATCATAAGGACCAGGACAGCGACGGCGATTCCAGAGATTAGCACCCAAACAGCGCTCAAGCAGGAAGGCTTTCGTTTGGAAAAACTCATACCTTAACAGCTTTTGTCTTAAAAGAAAAATGACACACGTCCTTTGGTTCACCACCACTGGACCAGTTCACGTCACTAATTCAGGTTCAGTTGCTATAATGATCCACATAATTCCAGATCACTGACAGAGCTCTACCTCCTGTGTGAGCAGACAGCTCGCAGGGTTGCTAATAACCATTACAGTTTGTGCAGCAGTTCTGCTGGGGGAAACGGAGGGGCTGATTTAGTCCTGAAACACACACAAATGCAGGCACTACAGAAGACAACCCCTCTTCCTTCGACAGCAGGTAGACAGTGGGAACACCGTGTTGAAAGGCTACTTGGCTTAGCTCTGTTCCTCCTCAAAGCCCTTTCGATAGGACGTGAAACTACTACCTGAATCAGTTTTCCTCCCTGGACTCACTTTTAAATATCATCGTGAAGTTTCAAAACCCTGCAAACACAAGTGCCAAGTCTGATAAATCTAACTATAGACAAAATCAAGGCTGGGGATTTAGCTGAGTGGCCTAAGCGCCTGCTTGGCAAGTACAAGGTCATGAGTTTGATCCCTGGTACAAAAAAAAAAAAAAAAAGTCAATGCAAGAAAAGCTTGCAAGCTGTGAAGAAACTTAAAATGAAGAGTGCTCACAAACCAATGAAAATGGGAATAAGTCACAAGAATGACAGGAAGTTGCCAACAGACAATTCACAGAAAAGCTATTTACGGCTCACTAATGTATCTGTGGAAACAATTTCCAGCTTCAGTGATCATCTCTTAAGCAATGAGTTGTCTATCTGTTACCAGACAGGCAGGAACTAAAAGGCCCAAGAGTGGGAGGAGGACGCCGGAGTATCTGCCACCATCCATGTGCACAGCAGCAGTCGGATCACCGCCACCAGAATTTGAAGTTTGCTCTCTTTTACCCAGGAAGTTCTCTTTTATTCTTCTGATAAGAGTTTTACAAGAACACAAAGACAGGGGCTGGGGATTTAGCTCAGCGGCATAAGCACCTTCCTTGCAAGCAGGCAGTCGTGAGTTCGATCCCCGGTACCAATAAAAAGGAAAAAGACCAAAAAAACAAAAAACAAAAAATAAAACAAAACAAAAAAAAGAACACAAAGACAAATCACCACAGCACTGAGAAGCTGCACCTCAGGGGATCTGACTTGCCATAGACCAACTACGGCGCGCGCGCACAGACACAGACACACACACACACACACACACACACACACACACGCGCGCGCGCGCGCGCGCACAGACACAGACACAGACACACACACACAGACACACACACACACACACACCCCGGCTCCAAGAGCGTCTCAGGAAGAGCCCGCTAGAACCACTGTGCAATAATAACCCAGCAGAGAGAAAAGATGCCAGGGGCTGGGGATTTAGCTCAGTGGCATAAGCACCTGCCTTGCAAGCAGGCAGCCATGAGTTCAAACCCTGGTACCGATAAAAATGAAAAAGACAAAAAAAAAATAAAAGAGAGAGAAAAGACACCTAACCACTGTTCCCTCCCAGAAGCGTGGGGGAGGGGAACGGCAATGGCTTTCGTACTGTTCCCTCCTCTACAACGGCTGACAGAGAGAGCTACTCTTCTCTCTCACGCACTCTGCAGTATCAGACAGGCACAGTCATGCACTATCTGTCATCCCCCCACCCCCAACACACACACAGGAAGACTGCTGCACGTCCAAAGCTGATCTGGGTAGAATGAGACCCTATCTCAAAAAAATCAGCTTCAGGGTACTTAATACTAAAGCATAAATGTATGTACAAAATGTATGAAGAACAAGAGAAGATTGATGATTATCTCTGAATTAAAAGACTGAATTTTTCCTTTCGGCATTTTAGCAATGTCCTACCATTTGTATAACTGTTGTATATCTGATGTATAATACTAACAAGACATGCATTAATGAATGCTTGTGTTATCCTTGACTGAAAACACCAGGAAGGCCATTAAACATTAAAGGACGGATAAGCTGCACTTCACTTCTTTTATTTTCTTTGTTAAACCCTATCTTTCGGCTGTTTTGTGCCACTAGGGACTAAACCCAGAGGCAGTGCACCCCTGACCTGCACCCCCAGAGCTTTCTGAGACAGACCCTCACTGAGAGCCTGGGCTGGGTCTCAAACTCACAGCCCTCCTACCTCAGCCTGTCAGGTCGCTGGGGTTCCAGGCATGCACCCTGCATGCAGCTGTGGCTATCGCTCTTTTTTTTTGGAGATGTCACTGTGTAGTACAGGCTGGCCTTGAACTTTCTTAAGAAGCCTAGGCTGTCTCAAACTCACAGCGGTCCTCCTTGCGTCGGCCTCCCAAGTGCTGCGATGGCAGGTGTGGGCCAGCATGCCCGGCCTGGCACTCTCGTTCTGAAGTGCGCTCTACTTGCTGCTGTGACTCAGTGCCTCCATGAGCAGAGGGGAGTGGCTCAGGCCATTATTCTGCCTGTGTTCCTGCTGCCTTTGCTGCCCAATCCAGTCCTGCCGAGCTACATCCTCAGCCCCTTTTCTGAGGCAGGTTCTCTCCACTTGCCCCAGGCTGGCTTCGCACATGCCATCCCCTGCCTCGGCCTTTGCCCCTGCATTTCTATCTGGCTAACTCATACTCACCGTGAAGGGGAGCAGGGAATCTGCGGTGGAGACAGAAAACATTCTACAACACAGGCACTGGTTGCTACACAGTCTGTACGCTCACTGACAATCACAAAACCATACAGTTCAGGGGCTGCATCACTCACGGTGCCAGGGATGCCCTGACAGAGCTGCTATGAAAACCATGACCAGGCTCCAGCAGTAGCACCAGCCTGCCTTCCTCTGGCTCCCCTCCGCACATCACTGCACCACAGGGTATGGCTGTGACCCAGCCTCCTACCACCAAGGCACACATAGTCCTCGGCCATGGCCCACCAGCCCTGCTCCCAGTACCGAGCTGCCAAAGACAGAGACCAGGCCCAAATCCGCTCTCAGCATGCAATTCCAGCCGCTATGTAAATCTTAGTGACACTCCTGAGCCTCTGGAACTCATCTATGTAGTAAGTTCTTTAGGGTGCATGTGTGAAAACATCTGTGCTCTTCTGCTTACAGGGACACTAACTAACCTGCCCTAAGTCACACAGCACCAGGAGGAATGGGCAATGTGACCAAACTCTTTGCCTCTTCAGGCACGCACGAAGGGTTCATGGAACGAGAGCAGTCGCCCAGGCAAGAGGTGCCTCAGTGCCCGGGAGGCAGCAGGACCTGCTGGGGAGCAGGCGAACAGCCAGGCTGGGGAGAGGTGGGTGTCCCTCCTGGCTCACTGGCACCTGCACTCCACTTCCATGTGGCCTGAGGACCCCAGGAAGTTATCTGGTAAAATTTACCCGAGAGAAGCCCATGTGGACTTGTGCTGTGGACTAAAAGGGCCCCTGAAAGGTATGTGCTGAGACTTAGTCCCCGAAGAGAGGGTATGAAGCGGCAACAAGGTCATAGCAGGCCTCGCACAAGAGGATTTGCATCCTCTTCAGAGTAGGGAGAGCTGAGACACCCTGCCACCCCACCGCTGGGCACAGCCACAATCGGCCAGCCGGGACCCTGGACCACCCAGCCTCCAGAACCACGAGCCCTTTCAGGTCAGGGCCTGGAAGGGCTCTCACGGCCTGAACATTTTAGGACAACTTGCTGCACACAGCTGGGCACAGCCCACACAGCTGTCAGCAGGCAGCAAGGGCCGAGCGCCCACGGAGAGAGCTGAGGACAACAGGCAAAACACAGCGTCTGCAGCAGGACACGCTGGCCAGTGGGGAGCCACGATGTGCCTAACACGCAGCAGGGCAGAAGAGCCAGACCCACCCAAAGGTAAGATAGCAAGAACCAGAAATCCCTATTTCTGAGGCATAAGGAGACCCGGCTTAAGCTTTCTGAAATTTCAGTAAACAATATTATTCCTATTTCTCCTGAAAAATAAAACTAAAAATCTTGGACACCAGGGCTTAAAAACAAAAACAAAAAAAAAGACAACTACGCTCACTTCAGCAGCACACAGAGCAGAAAGGAAGACAACTGAAAGGTGGCGGGAAAGAAAGGAGAGGCCTGGGAAAGGAAGGACAGGCTTCTCTGTGCTGGTTTAGGGTTAGGGAGTGTGTGTCTGTGACAGAGAGAGACAGACAGACAGACACACAGACAGAGAGGAACAGAGGGAAGAAGATCAAACCCAGGGCTCTGCATGTGTTCAGAAAGTGCTTCACTACTGATCTGCATCTCCAGCTACCAAGATTTTCTCTTGCTTCAAATCAACAGACCGGAGCTAAAGATGTCAGGAACCCAAATCCCAGTGGGGAGAAACAAGGGGAAAAAGCTTCAGTGGTACCGACAGTACGGTACTGGGGACTACCCAAATCAACCAGAGGACCAGAGGGCAGCCCAGCAAGAAACTCCCACACAAGACTCTGGAGAAGAAAATACAGCCTTGTCAACAACTGGTGCTAGGAAAACACATGAGAGAAATGAGACTCAACCTACTACGCCACATTACACACAAAACGTAACTCATGGCACAGCAGATCTAAAATTTGAAGTCTATTTAGAAGAAACCAAGACG